CACCGGCTAGCCTCCCCTGGGGTGAGTCTAAAGTTGAGCCTTTTCTGCTGCCGTCCAGCTCCAACAAGCACAGAGGCGCTTTGAGAGAGGCTTGAAGAGGGAGAGGAGTGACGCTGGAAAATGAAGGTAGGCATTAGCGCCGATTGGCTGGATTTGCCAAGTTTAGCTGATTAATTAATTTACATAAACGAATCAGCAGCCGACACTTTCCTTTCACTGTCCAACCAGACTGTGTATAATTCTATTTTATAGCCAATGAAAGGAGTGCCTTGACTTTGATCCACCTAGCTGTACCTAACTGGGCTAGTTCAGTAAAGAGCGGGCCGGGCAATTTCTCCGCCTCTCCAGGGCTTCCAATATGTATGTTGTCGCGAGAATCGCAAAGCGCTCTGCCACCCCAACCCGCATTCCAAATATGTGCCGTACTTAGATGAAATGGGTTGATTAAACAAGAGGGATCTTTGACATCAATCTATCATGAAGAGGGGGGATGGGTGCATTCAGGACGAAATATCACTGAAAAACCAGTCAGACACCCTTTCGTACTTGGTTCGCGGCTTGGTCTTGGTACTAAGGGGAAGACAAAGGGGGATAATCCTTTTTATCAAGCTCGGATTACCGACATTTGGGACGGAATCTGGGACGTTAGGAAAAGCAACTGGGGTTCAAAGGCTCCAATGAAGTCTCCAGGGACTCATCTGCAGGCAGCATGCATTTCAGAAGCCGGAAATTCACACAGATAAGAGAATTTGACGCAGACAGCACTGAGATGGAGCGTTGGGCGGGAGAGAACCAAACACCCCCAGAACAACGCAGTTCGTCACGCACCCGAGATTATGCCCTGTACAGAGTATGGCGGGTGTTGTGTGACGATTAGGCAGAACTATTTTATAACCACGCAGTTTTGTATTCCTCATATCTTCTCTACTAACTAGCGGCACTTCTCTTCAGAGTTAAGTAATTCAGGACTTGCCAGACAGGCACTCTGCTGCAGACTTCGCTGGTCTCTGTGCTCCGCCCCTGTGTCCTCCCGCCTTGGGTGGTTGGTGGTCGTCCAGAGTTCGCGCAGGCGTCAGCCGCATCCATCTATCCCAGCACCACATGTGACAGCGAACCACCACCGGATAGTTCATTAGTTAACCAGTTAGTTAACCGCCTACTCCATACTCCATAGTTTCCCCCCCGTATGTGCACACCAACATAATAACTGCACACTCCCAAGCAGGACTCTCACCGCAACTCCTGAAGTCCTCTGAACATATTGCCTGATCCCTCTGCTTGTTCCTTACCTCAGCGCAAACCCGCCGTAACTACTCGTGAAAGCTACCGACCCCTGCCGCCCCTCAGTCCAGCCGCTCGAAGGTTGGCCACCGCCTGCGAACTCCCACCTCGTAGCAGAAAAGGAGCAACCATGAAGATATTCTACATCGGAGTGAGCCAATTCTTCCACCTATTCGCTGTTCTTTGGCACCCTAATGACCCTTCATCTCCTAGATTATTCGCAACGAAACCAGGCCGGCCGTGGAGCTGTGCCGTGAGATGGATCTCAGCAGTTTCTCTCGATTCACAAGAGACAGGTACCCAAAACCCTAAGCATACCCTCCCCCACGGGCTCAACAATGTATACGAAGAAAACTCACGGACCTCCTCCGCTGTGTATAGCTACGGTGAATTCATGACCCTTTTCTCCAAAACAGTCGCCGAACGAACCCGCCCCGGCCAACGACAAGACGTCGAGGAGAAATCATACACCTTCCATGCCTACGGCCGGACCGAAGGTGTAGCAGGTATTATAATCTCCGACGCAGATTACCCGGGCCTTGTTGCACATCAGCTTCTTTCCAAAGTCGTGGACGAGTTCCTTGCCAAATACCCCCGCACTGCATTCGCCGCCCCTGACGTCGGCAATCTTCCCTTCCCCCAGTTGAAGGAATACATCACCAAGTACCAGGACCCTAGCCAGGCTGATAGTATCATGAAGATTCAGAAGGAGCTGGATGAGACAAAGATTGTGCTACACAAGACAATTGAAAGTGTGTTGGAGAGAGGTGAGAAGATTGACAGTTTGGTCGCAAAGAGCGACGGCTTAAGTGCACAGAGCAAGATGTTCTACGGCCAGGCGAAAAAGCAAAACACATGCTGTGTGGTTATGTGAGAGTACCGGAGTTGCTGGTTTGAATCTCTCTAGAGGCGTCCGTCTTCTCTTGATCATCTTTTGCCCTTTATGACACAGTTTGGTTGAGCATGATGTTATGCATTTTAAAGCCTGAACACAGGATATAATCTATGAATACCAAATTTCCAGAAGCGCCATGACCTCCCTTCACTTCTGGATTATTCAGGATCTAAGGTGGACGACTATCAAAAGTAGGCGTCCTTCAACATCCTCATCATGGAGAACATAGCCAAGAGACATTACAAAACACTTCCCGATACAACTTCAATCCCCCATCTCCACCACTACTTTGGGAATATTGATATCAAATCCCTCCTCTTCCGTCGCAACTCGACCCACGATACACTTCGTCCAATCCAGCAGTGCCTGGGGCGGTTCTCGCGTCGCTCTCGCATCAGCGAGCCCGGCCGATCCGGCATGAAGCCGCAAGTGCTGCATGAATGTATCTATATCTGCAAACACCGGCGCAGGCCCTTGCTGCTCCACGCAGCAGTATATGCACCCGAAACGGCCGCCTGTGCCATCATTGGCTTTCGGGCTACTTTTTATCGGAGAATGGCTTTTCGCCAGGAAGGACCACCGGTAGCGGATTCCGCTGGGACCGTGGAGACGCACTCTCTGATCAAAATCTTGCGAAGAGTTTCCCACCAGGGGGGAGGTGCGAGCGAATCCTCGGATGGGTGCGGAGGGAGAATTGCGACTGATAGTAGGAGTCTGGCCCATGGGGCCTTCAAAGTGGCATTTTGTGCATCTCCAGGTGGAAATCTGTTTGTACATGCCAGATGGCCTCAGATCAACGCGGAAAGACTTTTTAATTCCGTTTTGCAGCCTCCAAGCACCTTTGCAGAAGCCGGCGAATTTGTTGTCTTCACTTGGTAAATAGAGACCTGCTTGAAGGAGATTTTCTGTTCCCACGGCAGTTACAGGCGGCCCCCCCGGAGCGGTTTGAGCTGGCCCAGTTTGAACGGGGTGGGCCCGTCGTGTAAAGCTGAAAATTGAGCGGGAACCGGGCCCAGGTGTGTCCTTTTCGTCCGAAGAAGCAGATATTCGCTTCCCACGGCCATGCAGGCCTGACAAGAGCGAGCCAGAGCGGGGGGAAGGGGCATTCTGTTCAGCTAAGACATTTTCCTGAGAGCTGCCCCCTCTTCCGTATGGCCCATGTCGAATGGGACCTAGTACTGAAGATATATCTCCTCCATTGCTGGGCCTGGATGCTATCAACGGGCGAGAGGACTTTTCGCTATACACACTATCGCTGTAAATACTGTTTGATTGGGCCCCTGCTTCATGAATGGGCGGGATTGAAGGATCTAATTCGGGGAGTCTACTAGGATGGTTTATTGTCGAGTGCTGGTAACGAGTCCCCGTAAAGGAGCCTCCAACTGAGGAATCCAGACTCGGTGTCCTGGCATCCCGGAACTGTGTGTGATCCTTGGCCACAAGGCTAAACGGCGATATTGGGGTAACGAGTGACATCTCGCTGGCCGGAGAAATAGGAGGCAGGTGGTGATTCCTCGTATCGTACGATGAAACACTCTGCGATGTTGATAGTCGATGTGGATCTCGCGGCGTGGTCTCAAAACCCGGACCTACCATCGGCCGTCTAATATTTAGCGGAGGAGATGGGATTCGCTGCATGGATTGCGATCCCACAGTTGAACTCGATGGTTTCGTGGGGAGCGATGATGACGGATTTAGCTGCGGGGGGCCCAGAGCCATGCGTTCCCCCAGCCTATACAAACACATAAGGGCATCGAGGCGGGCATTGTCCGACGCAGCCAGCATAGCGGCTAAATCCGGATGAGTATTGTCCAGCAGCGCCATGCGCAGGGTAGCAAGGAGTGTCAACTGTAGATTTATGACAATATCTTTGAGGCCTTCTCGAGCTGTCTGATCCCCCACCTCGTAGGCGTCTCCAAAGCGGCGAAAGTTCTGGTCATACTGGCCTTGGATAACGGGCGGTCCAAGTAGAAGGGAGTTCTCGAAATCAAGCAGTTCCTCGTCCGTTCCTGTGCCGTTTGCGGTCTTCATGCGCTCCACAAGCTTAGAGGCGTCTAGGAACGAGGTCATCACTATCGTTCAAGAAGAATATCAAGAAGTTAATGATCTGCTACCTTTATAGCAATGTCGCTACATCAAAGTGAGGTGAGATCAATCGCCATACCAGCAGAAACGCATGTTCCAACTGACCGCACATCCGTCGGCGCCTGTGACATGATCATGTCCGCCAGACGAAACCAGTTCCATGTAGATCCGATCGCGATATCATCCCCGACGCGTGACGAATAATCGCGCGGATAATGGGATAGGTGGAGTTGAAGCCCTGGACAGGGACGGGATCGAGAGAAAACGAAATACAAATAAAAAAATGAAAGCTCATCGAGAAATCCTCTGAAGGCACGGGCTCTGTGGAGATGTGCAGCTAGACAATGCAAGGCTGTTCATTGTTCCTCTGGCCGCCAAACCAACCAATGAGCCAAGCATTTCGGGCAGATCGTATTCATCAGATCCTTTATTAAACCAGTGAGTTGGTTAGCTAACAAAACAATGTGTTGCAACGAGTCATTGTCTCGAATTCGAAAGAAACGGGCTGATCAAGCAACAGCGTGAAGTTTTTTCGGGTGGAGTCCAACGGGCCTTTGTGCCATCATTGGATTTTCACTTTTAACTAGTTATTTTTCCTCCAGGTTTGCGCGCTTCACCACGACAGCCACCGGGTATTCTGATGGCTTCCATTATTCAAAGAGATGTACTCCGTACGGAGTACTTGTAGCCTGACTTCAAGTATCCTCTGCAGACAACCGGCAGGCGTTGGGTTAGGCGGCTATTTATCATTGGCTTCGTCCTGATAGCTCGCTGAAGCCCCTTTTGCTATCGGAGCGGGCGGATTGCGCAGATCCAGACAATCAGCGGTTCCCTGCTCCAGGGTGCGGTGGACTGCCCATATTGACGCAATCAGCCAATCCGCCTTCCTTTGTCCTGCAACAATGTCCTGGAAAGCATACATCAGCCTTTTGAGGAACCTACCGCTGAAAACTGGCGTATATCGGCCACCACAGTGAAATCCCTCTCTACAACCCCGGATAAAGACACAGGGATGCCGCATCTAGCTGGGAGGGCGTCCTAAGGTTTTATACAAGGTATATCGTGGAAAATTTTCCAAACAAGAGATGTTTGTCTGATTTTCAGAGGACCAAAACCAGCCATCTTAGCTTGACCACGGACATCACACCTAAAAGTCCTCCCAGCGCTGGTACACCGACAGCTCCCTGGTAAATTACTATGTGGCACACTCCAAGTCAAAGATTCCCATAGGGTACGAGTGTGCCGAAACCGAGAGCAGTCATGTCACGGGTACCTTGGAGATCTGCTGTGTTACGAGAATCAGAACGTTGAGTCTCTTGGACAGCTTCCTTGAGATCTGGACCTCTGTCGTGGGATTCACACCGCTGGACATGATCTTTTCATCGATAAATGTCAAGGGCTCCCCCGAATACGGTACCGTTATTTGGTGGTCTAGCTGGCTAGATGGGAGGGCCAGCGCCGACGATGAGTACATGCTAGGATGCTTCGGATTCCATAAATATTATTGAAAACGAAAATCTAGGATGATGCGTACAATTTGTTGCCGTTATTTGAGGTGGGTATCTTTGGCATTCCTTGACATCCCACTAATGTGTGAAATGATGAAAAGCTTGGTGCCAAAACCTCACATTTCAGTGCCTTGATTACAGAGCCTCCCTATCAATTTATATACCGGCAAATCTTTCTGAGATCCCTTTTGCGGTCGGGCTCTCGTATTCAAAATTCCGGCTGCGCAGAGAATTACACGCGAGGCCTGATCCCCATTATCTGTATTTACGGGTTCCTTTACCACAGGCGAATCGAGGGCCGTGTGGAATCACCCTTCAGGGTTGACTAGTTCCGAAGAACTTACTAGGATCGCCTTATTTGATGAAAAGCTTGCTTTGACTTTGCGTTACACGGATAATTAACAGCTGCAGATCTGAGCGTTGATTATTATTGCATCGAGCGAGAAATTGTACATCAACGCTTAAAAAGACGAGGCATGAAGGAATGTTGACTTGTGAAAAGGTGGAGTCTGTGGATTTTTGTCCACCCCGACAACTCCTCAAGGATAGACGCTACGGTGGGCTAACGGGTCGGCAATTCAAGGAGAACCAAAATATTCTCGATGGGACATTGGAGTCACTCCATGAATTTTGAAATTAAAAATCTCTTCGGTAAGCTCAGGGCGAACGTCGTCAGGAATCGAGTCCATAAAGATGGTGGCTGCCTCCTGATCGAGGTCTTTGATTCTTGTGCAAACCTTTTCGGGATATTTCCGCATGAGGAACAAAAGATCCTCCTTGTCTTTATCCAGACGATCATGCATGAAGGCGGCCAGCTTGACGTTGATGATGTCAAAAACTCCAAGGACATAGATCGGCCGGTGCCCCGCAATGGTGTCAACACTAGAGAGAAGCCGATTGGTTGCCAAACTTTTTGGACTTCCTCGATATCCTGTTGTCACACCCTCAGTTAGCTGCTCATCCGTGTGTTGAAACCAGGGATGGGACGGATGCCAACTGATGGAAGGTTGATTTATACCGGACTCAATGAGGGTCACCGCAACCGGCACTTGTACATCACACGAGTCATAACCAGGGCCAGTATGAACAAGGACTTTGAGAATATCGGTGGTCAATCTGCTGCTAGGGATAACCAGACTAGCGGCCAATTAAGTTAGTAAGGCTCCATACCGGAGACACCTTGCCTGTGGTACGCATTTCCTCAACTGGACATACCGATGTTGCGTCTCCACAATGCTCCATATATCCTTTATGTTTCCCTGGAACAGGATGTCTACATTGCGGGTGTCCCGTTTTCCTCCCAGCAGGCGAATGGCAAAGCCGCCGAAGAGTGCATAGTTGATGTTCTTGGATTCAAGCATATTCACACAGAACAGAGCGGCAGATGCGAGATTATCTTCCGGGACTTGGGGGTATTTGGCGCGTTCCTCGTCAGAGTCGTAATCGGCCAGGCTGTATTGTGATGCCATTCTGAGAGGCTCCCGCAAGGGGTGGAGCGTGGTGCTAGAGTGGCTGCAGCTGCTTGAATAAATAATTGGAGCTGAAACAGAAATGTGCTGAGGATATGGCAAAGTAAGGTTGTGTGGATCGAGATGGATGAGGTCTCAGAGGGGGTTGTTTCCTGCAATGGAAGGAAATGTCAGCCTTAGATGTCCTTCGCCGAGCCACCTTTGGCTGTCCCGCCGTGAGCTCGGCAACATCTGCACCTGGAAAGGCCATCAAAGGGGCAGAAGGAGACGACTATTGCTGCGCTAGTTGCTCTGCTATCTGTGAAGGAAGATGCCACATCATTACTTAGTTAAAAGTTATACAACAGGGTCTAATACAGTTCACGAAAGAGACTGAAGAAACCAAACAGGCCAGCTACACAATCACTAGCAAAATAAGGAATGGAAAGATGCCGGGTAGCGCCACTAAGTGTGCCATCAATCAGGTGGAGGGGCGTGAGAACCCCCCCCAAAAAAAAAAAAAAGGAAAAAAGAAAAAAATAGAAAAAAATAGAAAAAAATAGAAAAAAAAGAAAAAAAAGAAAAATTTAAGCAAAACAGTGCGAGGTGTAGGAACCCCTGGATGGATCCTGGCCGTAATAGACATATCCCAAGATCAAACTGCGCCATATCCACTCTATCGATGCCACAAACGCCAGTAAAACCGTATGAAAGGGGTAGGGATAAGATGCTTTAAAGTGAGGAATCAGCAGCATTTTCCTTGCTTTCGCTTTGGAAATCCATCAGGCTCATCATCCGTGCGTTCATCATGTAAGACTAGAGTCGGCGGGAAACCCAACCAGCTCCGTCGTTTGTCTGCGTTGCCATCGGCCGCGATGCCATCACCGGATGTCGAGGGCCTCTCGCGCCCGCGAACGTTTCTTCGCTGTGTTGTCTCCGCTTCAACTTTCTTGTTTCTCTGCTCGACAAGTTTCCGGGTAATGACTCGAAACACCTCCTCAATACCCTCTCCATCTTTGGCACTTATCTCGTGGCAGCAATCCCAGCCGATATCCTGGCCCCAGAACCCGCTGCTGCGTTTGCTTTCCGGGCCATGGGTGTTGGACGCCGTAGCGGCCGAGGCACCTAGCATCCCCATTCCGGAGCTGGGCGGAGGAGTGGACGCTTGTGATGGGTAGAGCTGTTCGGCCACATATGCTATGGTCTTCTCAAAGGGGACTTTTCGTTTACTCGGATCATCGGCTACAATGTCAGATTTAGTGCCCACGACATGGATGATGATCGGATTATCCTCTCCCAGATTCTCTTTGAGCTCGCCTAGCCAACCTGTCATCTCCTGGAAACTGTTCTCATCCGTAATATCATAGCAAAGGAGGCCGGCATTGGCCCCACGATAGTATAGCCGGGATATGCTGCGGAAACGCTCCTGGCCTGCAGTATCCCAGATTTGTAGTCTCACAATGGTGTCGGAAGTAGAATCGAGGACACGTTTAGTGACAAACGACGCACCTACCGTGGACGCGGTGGTGGTGGGACTGAAGGAATTCTTGACATAACGTTGAACGAGGGAGGTCTTTCCAACGCCTAGGAATAGAACCAAAATGCAGGAATTAGCCCTGGAAGTCAAATTTCCCGCGGGGGGTATTCGAGACCTCGACGTCATGAATGACTTACCTTGAGCACCGAGGACGACGATCTTGGCCTCGAGGCTGGTACTCATAACGAGAGCAGGGCCGGAGGCTGGCGGTAAGGATTCATCAAGGGATTTCTAGAATGAGAGTGAAGATACACCCATGTCATTGGGATTTCAAGTCAGGCGAAGTGAGTGAGAAGAGAGAGAGAAAGAGAGAGAAAGCCTGTGTTACGTTGGAGGCTTTGTGAATGGACCTGCACACAAAGAGTCAGGAAATCATCCGAGATTCGTTCTCTCTTTTGCCCAAGTTGCATGGAGAGATCCGGGACAGCGAGCCTCAGTCAGTGACTGAATCATCCTTTTGAGCTGCTGCTCGTGACTAGGAGCGAGGAAAAGTCACGCGTGCACCTTGTCTTGTCTTTGCACTCCTGTACTGTTGGAATGTGTTGCAGAAGGGGAATGGGCGACTTCAGCCCAGCTAGGCTGACACCAGCAGAGTCAGTCGGCCAGTCATGCTGAGAGATCAGAAGAGAGCAGGCTATTCATGACACAGCCATCACACCAGGCAATGAGAGAGCGAGAATGCTCTGGATTGTCCCTTCAGATAGATATTTTGAAAAGTAGAAGCCGTTTACAGATCGTTCCTGACACATGCTTTTTAACTTTTAACTTCCCATGTACAGAGTATATGACCCAGAGTTACCAGTTGAATACTCCGTCCTTGCTCTGTGTCTTTACCCCATGATCTGATAAGTCTACACACAGTTTGAGCTCTGTGAAAGATGACTGCATGGGAAGAGTTATACTGCGAGACTCATTGTTCTCAGGTTTGCCGAGAGTTACAATGGAGTATGATATAGCATCTGATGGCTGATCTGCCTCCAAGCCATCGGGATAAGAACCGCCTCTGGTAACAATCTACAGCTTCGTTTCCGGCAACAGTTGTGGATGACTCAAGGATCTCAACCGGATTCTCTCTACTCCCGAGGCTAAATATGGCTCTTCTGGCAAGAAATCGGCACTCCAATGGATTCCTGCGCCGATGATATCTACGAATACATATTTAACTGGCCAGTGTTCTCGAACCATATGGCTCATACGTGCTCAAACAAACTCCGAGCTCCTAGCTATTATTCAATGAACAAACTCGAAGTTGTTCAGACCACACTTGAAACCCTTTCCCTCCTCCGATTTGGTTCTGAGGCACGCATGATGGAGACCGCTAAATAGCTAAAAAGAGCTTACGGCAGCTGTGCAGGAAGGCTGGGGGGTTTGTCGGGCTGGCATTGGCCGCGAGAACTTCAACTCTTTCCCCCCCCCGGCGCTGTGGCTCCTCCCTTTCCACCTTGGTATGCTTTCGTCTCTGTGTCTCTTCTGCGCGGCGCTTGTCGAGGGTTCATAGATTTCTGAATCGGCCCTGAAAAATTCAAAACTTCTGGAAAAGGGAAGAAAAGGATTCCGCGTAGGATCTAAAAATGTCTGGAGTGATAGATGAAAAGGGTAGACGGATCCTCGTCTGGACAGAGTGTGCAAGCACCTCGCTTGTATGTTAGAGTGCCCTGTTAGTTTACGTACCTAAAGTTTACAGGAGTTATTACTGAATTTTAATAAACTGTACTCCGTACGGAGTACTCCGTATGCAAGCAGAAATTAAAGAGACTCTCTCTCTCTCTATATGCTTTGATGATTCTCATGAAAGATTACTCCGTACTTGATTTAAAACTTTACAAAAGTTATTGGGGGCTTGGCATAACTGCCCTAGTAACCCATAGATAACCATGCCAAAAAACCCCCCCAGTTTACGGAGGAACCTATTGATATTTCAGGTTAAAATCTACTTAGATACTACTAGTCTATACTACAGTACTCCGTAGAGAGTAATATATTCTGCGATGGAGTGGGGCGAATTTCAGCCAATGGCCAGAGCAAGGTCACAAAATGTCGGGAAAAGTCATGTTTTTGCAAAACGGCCCCCAAGTGCGGCTGACGGGCTTCGAGACGTTCAAGTTGTGCCTGAGAAAGTGATGATCCCTGCGCGCGTTGGGCAGTTCCCTGACTCAGGTCTGTCAAACGGAGGCTGGAAAAATGGCAGCACCACCTCTCGCGGTTGACACAGCCCCTCACAGCCGTTCGTCGGACGACGTTGCTGATGGCCTCTTGAAGGACAGTGATTTCCGGAAGGACGGCCGTGAGCATGGCTCTGAGTATGGCTATTCTCCACGTCTATGGCAGCCTTTCTTCCTGCGCCGGTCGACTTTCCTGGTCTTCATTGCTACTTTCGTGGCTTTGCTCGCCACAATCGTTGCCTTGTACTGCTATGCGGCTCGTGGCGATGGTAGACAAGGCATTGAAACACAGGGCTGGAAACACTACTACCTATGGACGTATGGACCGACTGCAGGTTGGCTCCTTTTTCTAGGTTTATTCTTTTCAGGCAACAGGTTGAGATCCTAATAACGTCCGTGACAGTGTTTATGGTCCTGGGCGCCTTTTGGGGCCAGGTCGAATACCGCGGGTGCCAGTTAATGCCATGGTTGCTGATGTCGCGCGCTCCAGTTGCCGCATCTGATGGGCTTCTGCTTGATTACCTCTCTCCCTGGAACATTGAGTCCCTCTACAGGTCGGTCCGGAGGCGTCACTACCTGGTTTCTTTAGTCATTGCTGGTACACTGCTGGTCAATGGAATGGCAATTGTGTCAACAAGCTTTTTCGAGCTCCGCGACGTCCCCATCAAACGTTCCGCTTCTCTCCGCCTTACCCATGATATCAATTTCCGCCTTGACAATTTCAGGCCTCCCGATGTTACAACCATCCCGCACATGAGGGCCATGGGAATAGCGCTAAACGGCTCCGATCTGCCCATTGGAATCCTTGCCAATCATGTATTTCCCCCCTTTCAGGAAGACGGCCCTTTTCGCCCCGACAACTTTACTTTGGGTGACAATCGCGAAATCGAGGCCGAGGTGGACGTGCTCACCGTGAAGGTCCAGTGTGAAAATGCGACCATGGAGGCCACCAAGAATCAATCCGAGTATACTCTCTCCATGAAGTCTGGCTCTTGTTCAACCGGCCCGTTACCTCAGCAGGTTACCCAATATACGGTTTTTCGGGGTGTTAACGCAACCTTTGTAGGTTTTCCCTCCCTGTGTGACGGAAAACGATTGCATTTTCCCCAAGACGAGGATCAGTATACGGACGCATACTGGCGCATATGGGTCTATATTCCGCGTCATGACCCCAATGGTTTGTATCTGAACGCGACCATAGGTTCCGGGAAAAAGGCGGAACGCGGGGCTGGGAAATTCGCATTCACCTGTGCTTTCTGTACGCCCTACCTTGACGTAGCCCGCGTTCCAGTGAAGCTGTCACGAAGTTCCGACGGCATTTCCATCATAACCGACATTGACATGAAGAAACAGCGTCCGCTGTCTCATAGTTCCCCCCCGGCATTGGACGTCAACGCCGGCGCCCTTTTGTATGGTGCATGGATCTCTATGTTAAAAGCTGACGGCAATGGATGGAGCCTATTGGGGCGTCGGTCAGGAGATAGAGAGGCTTTTTATGATCCAGCGCTCCTGTCCCAAGAGCTGGGACGTGGTCTTGAGTCTAGTGCGATCCAAGTGGCCAGAGATCAATTACTCCAGCCTGTAGACCGCCACATCAAAGGAACGACGGAACGGACGGAAAGTCGCCTCTTTGTCCGTCAGTTGTCATTTGGTCTGATGATCGGCTTTCTTTCAGTGCTTATCATCATCTCCGTAGTTATTGACTGCTTCTACCTCCCACTCTCTGTCTGCTGCCGCGATCCGAGCTCTATTGGCGGCCTTGCGACAATCTTGGCACGAAGTCCCAAGTTGATGGCCACTCTTCGAAATATGAATCTGAAATGGCCCTCGGAGATGAAGGAACTGTTGGCCGGGTGTGAGCATCGTACCTGCATAAACGTGGGTAGGGAATTCCAGATTGAAGTACATGACCAGCGGACCTCCCACGCGCAGGTTTCCAAGAGCGGCACAGATAGCACACCCCGCTGGTGGCGTCCTGTGTCCGCAAGACCACCGGTCTACATCCTTACTTTTGTCCTCCCCCTTGTTGTAATTGCTACTATCGAAGTATTGCTCCATATATCTAACACAAGACGAGGAATCGCGCCGGTGGGAGGAAGAGAGAATGGTAGGGATCAGCCCTGGGCATACGTCCCCGCCATTGTTATGTTTTGCATCCGTGTTCTTTACCAAATGATGGAGGCAAACGTCAGGACATTTCAACCTTTCCATTGCCTTGCACGCGGAAGGGCACGCGCAAATGCAAGCGTTTTGGAAAATCAACATCGCAAAATAACTGCATGGGCGATCCTTGATTCCCTTGGCAAGCGACAATGGGCGTTGGCAGCCAGTGCCGTTGCACTCCTCCTAGCGGGCGCGCTACCTATCACCGTGTCCGGTCTTTATGCGGTGAACAATTTGCCTTATCCCACTGACATATCCCTGGTTCAACGCAGCACCTGGAACGTTAGCTCCTACAAACAACACCTTGACCACTCCAAGTACTTAGACCTTCGTTCCAAGGACTTTACACCTGGGAGGATTCTCTATCTGAACATGTCATATCCACAATGGACATATGCAGACCTGGCATTCCCGAAATTGTCTCTTCCGAGGACCGATGACAATGGCACTTCCAACTTGACTCCCGGGTACATACAAGCTCGACTCCCGGCCTGGCGCCCCAACCTCAATTGCGATGGCGAGATTCCAGCATCTGATTACAAACTCTCGTGGTCTCACGATGACGACGACGGCCTGCTCCGTTGGGATGTGGAGATTAATAGTACCAGAGGGGCATGCTCGTTCTCACTCCATGAGAAGGGGGTTGGAGCCCCCAAATACTTCTCTGACTGGTTCAATCTGACCCAGAATGTGGCCTATGAAGGGAATCCAGCAGACTGCCCGACATTATTATATCTGTTTGGCAACCAAGTTGAAACCCGCATGTTGAAATGCCGTCCACAAATCCAGGAAGTCGACGTTGACGTCCGGTTGGAGCCACGATCCTTGATGATCAATCCTAACCACCCCCCTTCCATTGTCCCCGGATCCGCTAGACCGCCTTTGGATGATTTCATGGCTTATTCAAATGGTACTATGGTGCCAATCCCATTCCTCCCAGGGCCAGGCTTTTTTGACCCCGACTTCATCGCTGTCCAAGCACCAAGAAAGGAATACCGTATCGATTTCTTCACAACAGCTGCTATATGGGGCGCGGGCGGGATTCCCGCAGACGAACTATTATCCGACACAGGCAAACTTTCTGCCACACTCACGCGCATTTATGGCATTGTCATCGCCCAGCGTATTAATGATAACTGGCACATACCGTTCGGGTCAGACACCACTACTACAGCACCAGATGGCGAAAATAGCTCCCCCACAAACTTCCCGGCCAAACTAATCGGCCACGGCGACTACCTCGTCCAAAGCCGTCTCTCCACCCGTCTCCTCGACGCGTTCCTTCTGTGCATGGTGATCCTAGCCGTCACTTCCACATTGCTCATGAACACGAAGAACATCCTGCCCAAGAACCCATGCAGCATTGCAGCCGTCGCGAGCTTGCTGGCTGGATCTCGGATAGTGGAGGACCCGCAGATCATTCCGCAGGGCGCAGAGTGGTGGGATGATAAGGAGTTGGTAAAGAGGGGGGTTTTCGTGGGCTGGAGGTTTTCGATCAGATGGTGGGTTAGGAGGAGGCAGGGGCCTGTGGCTGATGATGGAGGCGATGGTAACGGTGTGGAAAGGGAGAGAGAAAGATACAACGGGGAGGGTGATGGTCTTTTGGAGGAAGAGAAGGTGTTTGGGATAGATGTGCACGATAGGGAGAGTGCCTAACTGACTGAACTTTTCCGCTGCTTTGGCTAGGAAATGGGCCAACTTTTATAGTTAAATGATAGAAATACGACAAGCTAGGGAAAGGTTAATAGTCTGCTGAACATGTGAGTGCTTTCCATCAACATCCCTGCGGTATGGTCGGGGGAGCCAAAGCGGCGCCGTGTCGATTGCTAGAAACGGCTATCGATACAGTCAAAGGTGAATCCGATGTGTTATCAAACTCTTGCGGCTCAAATAGCAACCAATCAAATTAATCTTATAAAATGAAGATATAATGTCAGGAAATAGCCATCATTAGGGTCAATAAACATATATGAGAAGAGGTGAGGATGTGGTGAGGACAGAGCGGCGAGCGTCAAGGCTGCGCTAATTCGGAACAGGAACATCCAGGTTCCCCGGTAGTTCACTAGTTATGTAAAACTACCTTAATAATTAACCAGCCGGAGAGTAACTAACTGGAGTCGATGTTTGAATGTCGGTTGGAAGGGTTTCAAAAAGCGCATTTTCATCATTGACGACAGCTGATCTGACGTTTTGCATGGATTAATTTGGAAAACAGCTCTGATTCCATGGTGGATAGAGGGGTATGGAGAATGGGGAGAATCCCTTTCTTGAGTTGAAGCTTTTTGACGCACTTCAAGCGAAACTCACCCTGTTGGGAGCTCCCCGTCCTATTCTTCCAGTCTCGCTTCCACCTACGAAGCGCTCTGGGGTTGGAGTTGAGTATTTAGATAAAGGGTCATCTTAACGACATATCTTTTAAGATTCAATTGGCCATTTTATTTTACTTTATTTTTATTTTTTATTTTTTTTTCGGGGATCATCGCATCCGTGGATCAGAGAACCATTGTCCATCGCTTCGCCGCTCCCGGGTTCCCTTACCGGGAAATTCAACGCCGTTTTCACCCCACACCTCACCCTCTATTCTGGCTAAAGGATACTGCGCTTCTATGCAAGCTGCCTACTCAGCTCTCTCGGCCCCCCAGAAAATCGGAGCTGCGGACTTGTCTGTGGGGGTAATGCCATAGAAAGAATATAATAGGGGAGCGCACCATGACACCGTTTCTGTTTAACAAACCTGAGAGGAGTTATTTTAAAGCTTTGATCATACCAAGAAAATGGGTGACCTCCAGCAATCATCGGGGAGCATTGTCTCCAAGGCATATGTCGTCGAGTCCGAGGGAGCGCCGTTTGTCCTAAAAGATGTTGTCCTGGACCAGGTGCAACCCGACGAGGTTCTCGTGGAATTAAAGTACACAGGGATCTGTCATACTGTTAGTTAGCCGCTTGTTACTCCCAGTCAGAGGAACCCTCACGACAGGGACGCCTCATTTGTTGTCGATAAAGTACTTATGTTTTTTTTTTTTTGATTTTTACGGTCTATTAGGACATTGTCGTCCAAAATGGCGGAATGCCCATTGGGAGCTACCCAGCCGTCCTTGGACACGAGGGCGTAGGCATCGTGCGACAGGTTGGATCTCAGGCTCAGGACAAGTCGCTGAAGGAAGGAGATACAGTTCTACTAGGTTTCCGTACCTGTCGAAAATGTCCATCGTGCCTGGAGGGTCGATGTGGTGCGTGTCCCCGTATGACAGAATACAACTTTATGAGTGCCCGTCTCGGAGAGGGCGCGAAACCCATCTATTCCTTGACCGATGGCACTCCGGTTCATGGCCAGTTTTTCGGTCAATCATCTCTGAGCAAGATGGCCATTGTTGCAGAACAGTCTGTGGTGAAATGCGACGTCGATGCCGACTCCCTTCAGTATCTACCTCCGCTTGGCTGCGGGTACCTCACCGGTGCGGGAACCATCTTCAACGTGCTCCAGCCCAAACCAACCTCAACCGTGGCCATCCTGGGGATGGGTGCTGTTGGCGTGGCAGCATTGCTCGCCGCGAAGGCAATGGGTGTTCGCCAGATCATCGCAGTGGATATCGTGGACTCGAAGCTGGACCTGGCTGTCTCCTTGGGGGCAACCCACACGATCAACACGAAGCAGGTTCCTGATCTCTGCACCGGCATCCGAAACCTGCTGCCCGATGGTGTGGACCAGATCGTGGACACGACCGGCGTTTCGCCCCTGCTGCAGGCATCGATGAAGGCCCTCGGCCATGAAGGTGTGCTCGCCTTGGTCGGAGTTCCCCGACCTGGAGACTCAATCCAGGTTGATGCCCTAGACTTGCTTGTTTCCTGCAAACGGGTCGTTGGTGTGATTGAAGGTTTTGCGGACCCCAAAGAGGTAACGAATAACAACAACCCTCCCAAGAGTCATTTTACGCTCTGCTGGTGCTAAGCTATAAAATGCAGCTGATCCCCCGACTCGTCAAACTATACCGTGAAGGAAATTTCGCCATCGATCGCATCTCAACGGTCTACGCGGCTGAACGCCTGGATGAAGCGATGGAGGACCTTAAAGCTGGAAGGGTAAGTCCACAGCATTATGCCCGACTTTGATGAAATATAATCTCATTGACGCCTCCATTCGCTGCAGGTGATCAAGCCGGTGTTGTCATGGGATGGCATTTGAAGCGCGGTCCTCGAATAAGACTATAAAAAGCAAGGCACGCGCTGATGACCTTTTTTTCTTTCTCTTTTCCTTCTTCTTCACGTTCGTATGGATACCATTGAGCACCGGAGCTATGTACCTCGTTTTTATTGTCGAATTATAGCACGATTTTAACGAATTTCATTATCTTAATTGTTTTCTGAGTACTCCGTATCCTGAAATGACAGTACTGGACTGGAATGAATTCCGGGCATCACACAGAAAGCTTGACCTCCAGTTTCTCCACAGGGCTGCGCTCGTCCATCGGCGATTATTACTTAACCAGTCTGGACTCAATGACAGGCCAACCGCTTTACAGTTCTCCCGTTACTCCGTATTGTGTTTGCTTTATTTGACAACCAATGATTGTGTGTTCCCACCCCGCGTCTGGGCCGACCGTTCAGTTCGCCCGGGCCCGATATTGGACCAGGTTGACACGGCCGATAGGGGGGTACAGAAGCGTGAGACATGATATTCTGCGATTGGGCCGAGCTTTGGATGATCAACTACGGAGTACGGAGTACTCCGTACTCCGTATTCCGAACTCATCAACTGGTTGTCGTGGTGATCATGCAGCTTGGGGATCCTCAAGAATCATTGCATCCCGCCAAACTGTGATTGGCCATGAGAAAGTTTCGGCTCTTTTGAGTTTTGCAGGGACTGGGGAGCTCTGGCCCCCCGGAAAGCAAGGGGAGGGAGTTACAGTATTCGTAGGTGGGAGGAGTTTTGGCTGGCCTTCCCCTCACGACGACGAGTATTTTAGCGGCGACGCGGCGCGAGAGTCGCAGCTCAGAACAGGACACAGTTACATGTGAGTTCTTCTCTATTCCTTAACGACTTGGCGTCTAGGGGGGGAAGTCGGCCGAGAAAGGGACGCGTCTATGGGGAGTTTTTTACCGCTTTTGTTGCTCGGCAAGCTGGCGGCTGTGTCGCGACCCTGCGTTTGCCGTGCAAGACAAAAGACGAAAGCGGTCAGCGAACCGTCTGCTTCATCCATGTCTCACTCTCTCGCGGGGTTTTGTACGGTCATCCCTGTACTGCATACAAGCACACAAAACATGCGTGCATTACTCTGTACATACATGGTCTACATTGTACATCCAAGTGGCCTTCTCGGTCCCCCTGCTGTTGCTATCTTTCGGCCGTGGGGCACTCCGTAACTATAAAAAAAAAAAAAACTACAAACGGAGGTACGGAGGACAAAGGATATACTGTATGGCTGGGCGGTGTGGCTAGTGCGCCAAAACTTCCCCCCATGAAAGGCGAGCGTCTGCCGAGGTAGCCGCCAGATCCGGACTAGCGCGCCCAGCCCTGTGGCGCAGACTCACCCCGGTCCTTGAGGCTTTGGCCCAAAATGCTGACTCCGCCAGCCCGTCCTGCTTTCCCGATGCGGTCGCTCTCGCTTTCTTCTCTTTTTCCTGATGCTGGTTGCCTCCTTCCAATTCTCCGCTCTTTCCTCAGATCAACTCACTTCTCTCGGTCTGTTGATTTTTTTTTTTTTTTATATAGTCACTCTTAAGCCGCCCTTAATCCACTTAACCCGCTTTAACCTTCTTCCTCTCACAGACTTAAGCTTAAAAAAAATTAAGGTAAATAGAAGATAACTTTGAACAGCGAATTGGAAAACATCTATTTTTTTTCTATTTTTTTGTTTGGTTCCATCCCTCTCTCTTCTTCTCGCACGAGAACGGCCATCCAAAACTCATAGTTAAAAGCCATCCAAGTCTGGCCCACCGCATATTCTGGACACACCTCACCCATAAATAATACCTTCTTCTCTCGTCCTCTTCCTCGTCCTCTTGGGACTCAGGTCCATGAATCTACATACTCCGTACATCCATCCACTCGTTCATCTGGGCTTTGCTCGCGGCATCTTCGCCGTCCAGCTACCATCCTGAGATAAGATAACCCCATCCTTGGACTCGACCATTCCTTGTTACAGAGTACATACATATATGTATATATATATACCGTCCGGCATCGCATATAGAGTAGCGTTTATCTGCGCCAATCCCATTCTCCCATCCGGCCCTGGAGTCAGCACCTTTTAACTCTGTTCCCGGTTGCTAGTCGCTGCGCCGTCCGTCGGAATGACCAACAATCGCCTCACCGGGCCTGAAGTCGCCAGGCACAACTCTGCAGATTCGTGCTGGGTTATCGTCCACGGCAAGGCCTACGACGTCACAGATTTCCTCCCCGGTGAGTGGCCTTGTGCCTGAATGCCCTCGAATCGCGGCACACCGTCACTCCCTTGCTCACACTCCCCTTCTCAGAACATCCCGGTGGCCAGAAGATCATCCTCAAATATGCCGGAAAAGACGCAACCGAAGAGTTCGAACCCATCCACCCTCCAGACACCCTCGACAAGTACCTCCATCCCTCAAAGCATCTCGGGCCCGTCGATATGAATACCGTCATGCAGGAAGACAAGGGCGTCGACCCGGAAGAGGAGGCACGTCAAGAACGAATAAGGCGGATGCCCTTGCTCGAGCAATGCTATAACCTGATGGATTTTGAAGCCGTCGCACGCAGGGTCATGAAGAGAACCGCCTGGGGCTACTACTCGAGTGGTGCCGATGACGAAATCGTATGGCCAAAGCACACCCCCTTCCCCCCCCGGACCCTTCACATCTCATCGTCGGTACGCTGACATAGGGCAAATGAAAAATTTTTTTTGCATCCACAGACCATGCGCGAGAATCATTCTGCTTTTCACAAGATCTGGTTCCGTCCTCGAATACTAGTCGACGTTGAGAATGTTGACATCTCCTCGACCATGCTGGGCGCCCCTGTTTCCGTCCCGTTCTATGTTACCGCCACTGCCCTCGGCAAACTTGGCCATCCCGAAGGTGAAATCTGCCTCACCAAAGCTGCCGCAACCCACGACGTCATCCAGATGATCCCAACCCTGGCATCCTGTTCCTTCGACGAGATTGTCGATGCGGCGATGGACAAGCAGACCCAATGGCTGCAGTTATACGTAAACAAGGATCGTGAAGTGACACGGAAGATTGTGCAGCACGCTGAGAAGCGAGGTTGCAAGGGCCTGTTTATCACCGTCGATGCCCCGCAGCTGGGTCGACGGGAGAAAGATATGCGGTCCAAGTTCTCGGACCCTGGAACAGATGTCCAACGGACAGACAGCAATGTAGACCGGTCCCAGGGTGCTGCGAGGGCCATCTCCTCTTTCATCGACCCTTCCCTTTCCTGGAAGGATATCCCGTGGTTTCAATCCATTACCAAGATGCCTATTGCGTTGAAAGGAGTGCAGCGCGTTGATGACGCCCTCCGTGCCGTCGAACTTGGTGTCCCTGCCATCGTTTTGTCAAATCACGGCGGTCGACAGCTCGAATTTGCGCCGTCTGCGGTTGAGCTCCTGGCCGAGGTTATGCCGGCCCTACGAGCCCGCGGATGGGAGAATCGCATAGAGGTCTACATAGACGGTGGTATCCGACGGGCCACAGATATCATCAAAGCCCTGTGTCTCGGCGCAAAGGGAGTTGGGATCGGTCGGCCATTCCTCTATGCCATGAGCACATACGGAGTGCCCGGCGTTGAGCGCGCGATGCAGCTGCTCAAGGACGAGATGGTGATGAACATGAGATTGTTGGGTTGCACGAGCGTCGACCAACTGACTCCCGACCTACTCGATATTCGAGGTTTGGGACATCATTCCGTGCCAAACCCCGTGGATAGGCTTGCGGAGTCGGTCTATGACCCGCTGGTTACGCCGTCAGATAGGCCTCCTGCGTCAGTTGGTGGTGGGTCGAAGTTGTAGAATATTCAGCTAATAGTTATGCTGGCCTGATTTTGAGCTTGAGCGTTTCTTGTTTGGTTTATGCTACATATTAATCTGCCACTGGCGTTACTAGCGCGGCCTCTTTTTTATTTTTTATTTTATTTTATTTTATTTTATTTTATTTTATTTTTTGCTGTTCTGTGGATGCTTAACTACCCTGTAAATGCCATCATATTAATGAGAATTGCTCCGTATGTGAGAGTGACCTCCATCCTCTTAACCTCTCCATTCCCTTTCGCAACCTGAAGGTTCTCATGATTGGAAATTGTTCTTGTCATTAGCTCACCATCCTTTCGTTTCGCCTGCGCTTGAGGCTGGTCGTGTTGATTATATAATCATATTTCGTCGACTGGCTGGCCAGCTTCACTCCCAGCGATGATGATGAGGCAGAACTACGTGATTTACTTCCAGCAAAGCACCCGCCATGTCTCTTGCCGACTACCTAGCCAAAAACTACCTCACGGCAGATTCTTTACATGGCTCTGACCGTCCCAAAAAGAAGCGCAAAAGGAACAAACACGCTGAAGAGACGGACGGGCTTATAATAGCAGACGATGACCCCCCGGACCTCCGGTCGGCTTCTACCACTCAGCAGAAGTCCCGCCGAGGATTTGGATACGACGACGATGACGATGACATGGGACTGGAAGCTACAATAGCGGGTTCGTCTAAAGAATTCAAAAAATCCAAATCGAAATGGAAAACCGTCGCTGGACCCACCGCGCCCGCCAACGCAGAACAACTCGCCGCTGACGCAATCCTAGCTTCTGCGGCTGCTGAACGGACGGCACGGGCGGAGGAAGAAGAAGACGAGAAGCCGCTGGTTGTGGATAATGATGATCGTGAAGATGGAGTGCTTAGGATGGAATCTGGGGCGCGTGCTGGCCTACAGACCGCCGCTCAGACTGCAGCCATGGTCGCTGCGCAGGAACGAAAACATGCCAAGGATGCTGCCTCGATGCGGACAAGGCAAGCCAAGGGGGAGGAAGCAGAGACTATATATCGTGACGCGTCGGGTCGTATTATCAATGTTGCTATGAAGCGCGCGGAAGTACGAAAAGCTGCGGAAGAGGCGGCGGCCAAAGAGGCGGCGGAGAAAGAAGCCCTGACGGGTGACGTGCAGAGAAAACAAAAAGAAGAGCGGAGGAAATTGATGGAGGACGCCAAGTCTATGCCGCTGGCACGTACGGCGGAAGACGAGGAATTGAACGCGGAGCTCAAGGCGAGAGAGCGTTGGAATGATCCTGCTGCCCAGTTTTTGACCAAGCCATCTGCGACGAGTGCTGGTGCGAAAAAAATGTACAAAGGTGCTGCGCTGCCTAACAGGTATGGGATTCGTCCTGGGCATAGATGGGACGGGGTGGACCGGAGTAACGGCTTTGAAAAGCAGTGGTTTGATGCTAGGAATCGGAGGGAGAGAAATGAAGGCCTGGCATATGCATGGCAAATGGATGAGTGATTACTTATTACCTCCCTCACCCATTAAAGGTCTATTTCAAGTCGACCCACCATTTGAACGGTACATTGTCATATGTGATACAACCGGATATATGATGCCCTAAAAGATATTGGTCGAGGTGCTCTGGGAGATAAATGGTGCGAGCCACTTATGCTTGAATAACTAATGAGATATACGAAGCTTGCACTGGCATTGTGCTGGCAAGGTGAAAAAAAGTGAACCAGGACAGGAAGCAATATCGGTCTTGGGGCAAAAGCAGGACTTGAACAGCTCTCCGACAAATTACGTTCGGTGGCTCTTGCAAGGGCCTAAAGAGCGTATTTACCAGCTTGATTGGGGAGGAGATGTTTAGCAAGTGTTCCAAAATGAAGAACGCGTGTCTTCTCGGAATATGGTTATTATACACGATTGTACGGAGTACTTCTCCCTCTTTGGGATGGGGTATAAACCCCTGTCAAGATCACAAGAGGTATCTAGCCTTGAAAAGTAATCCAACTCGCTGTCTCTGTGTTTGGTAAAAGAAGCCTCTTGGATGCAACCTTGGGATGATCTTGAGGGTGCGTCAAAATTACACCTGTTGACATCCCTATACCAGGCTCTAGACCTTTCGGCTGCAAGGGTGCTGTAACGGACTCTTGTTTATGCCGACCAGAGTTATCGCTGTTGGCGAAGAAGTACTAGGCAAACATTGGAAGGCATGACAGTAGTAACCATCGATGGAAATCAACTACCGCCATACGCGGAGTACTTCATAATACTGCGGGAAACGTTAAGTGAGATATCAGTGTATGCAGCTGGAAACGGCATGGATCTGAATTATACAAATCGGTCGTGAAAAAAAAAAAAAAAAAAAAAAAAAAAGCCAAAGGAAAAGAATTCATCAAATCGGCACTGTAACTTACGACAAACAGCGACATGGCAACTCCGACCATCCTGCCTCACGCTTCGCCATTTAGTTATATCAAAAATATACGCGGTACAAAAATGAGATGCGAAAAAGAAGAAAACCACCATGCAAGACCGAAAGGAAGGAGAATCAAGGAAACGCAACTAGAGAAGGGGAACCGGGGATATGGGTAAACTTGCAAGCAATCAAGAGAGAGAGAGAGAGAGACATGAATACATCGTAATCATCCAAATCGTCAAATCTTCTTTAGATGGAGAGACGAAAGATAACCGTGCGGGAGAATGGTGCAAACCTAACACCATCCCAACCCCATCCAATCCTATTCCTATACTTTCATATGCCATTTTTCTGTCACTTAATTTCATCGCATCGTCAAACGCGGAAAACCCCCAACACCAAGGCGGACATGAATCAACCACAGCTAATCTATTTATCTAAAACCGTCTGCTGCACGCAATGTGATATGGCTGAGGGCGGTCGACCAAGTGGAAGCCGACCCGAACACATATGCAATTCAAGGGAAAAGAGAGGAGGGAAAGAAAGGAGAGCATAAGCCACGTAGAGAGAATGAGTGCACGCTGAATCCAATATATAGAAAATAGAAATTGGATCACTGCAATATTATTGCTCTTTCTCAGAAGAGTACCCCTATGACAGTTCTAGGAGAAGTGAGCAAGATAGTCGAGATACCTCGGGAGAAGGCGGGTGATAACTGTTCATGAAAGGGGGAAAAAAAAGAATCAGAGTGAAGCGGCTGGAGCATGGGGATTATTTCGCAGCTAGAAGCAAAAGAAATCATGAATAGGTTCGTTCTACCTCTTCTTAACTTCTGATGCCCAACCGGCGATACCCTCACCCCTACTTCCAACAGGAACGTTCAATTGAATGTGGTCCATCCCCTTTGTGCTCTTGAGATACGGGTGATTCGCCATACCGCCGGCATTTGCCCTTCTATCGGGTACCAACTCTAGCATTGGCAAGAGAAAATCGGAGATGGCTTTGCTCTCTTCAGCTGGGAAGTGGTACTTTTCTCGAAGGACGTCGGGCAGAGCCCAGTGACGGAGCCGATGGATGTGGCGAAGTTCACCTTTTCGATTGAAAATCTCTTGACTCCACTTGCCGGATAAACACATGGATTTGGGGAATGAACCGAGGAGTTCGATGATCTGGGCGATGTGGTCATCGTCTTTTCCGTACTTTGTACCCGATTGAGGGTCAAAGAGGTAATCTCCTGTGATAAGTTCGAAGACCTGAATGGTGCGTCAGATGCACAAGTAATAGATGAAAAGGCCAGCCGGTGTGGGGGATTTTTTTTTTTTTTGCCTACCATTGCCGCCATGCTCCATACGTCCGTGCTAGCACCCCATTTCGCACCGAGAATGACTTCTGGTGACCGGTACTGCCGCGTTTGAATGTCATTCGTGAAATGGTGTCCGACCCAGCAAGCATTTCCCAGATCGGCGATCTTAACGGAGATCAAGTCGACTTGTGGGTCATCTACTTCCGGCGTGGAGCCCGTCTCTAGGGTAATTCCTGAGACTTCACGCTCCAGGATGTCACTGCCAGCTTGTTAGCTATCAAAAGGCGCGCAGGCGACGGGTGTTTTGGCCATGGTTTGCTCCTACGTTGTCTTCTCTCTTTGCTTCTGTTTCTCATCAGCGATCTTTTCCGCGTCCTTGATGCCAAGTCGATCTTTCATAGAAACGCCTGAGGGAGTGGCTGTAGCGAAGAGGAAGAAAAAAGAGACCCGTAAGCTTATATTCGTGCCTAAATTGGAGGTTTTTCTTTTCTTTTCTTTTTTTTTTTTCTATTGTGGGGGGGAAAGGATAATTGGGGTAAGAGAAGCTTTACCTGTAGGCTCCTGTAATACTTGATTTAGGCTGCTATGGGAGCTGAGGGTTGGGGTATGTGCTTTAAACGGGTCGGCGGCGCTGAAGCTGGTGTTGAGGGGACTGGGAAGGGGCTGACTGCCTGTGATGAGGGTCCGTCTCCTCCTGCGGCCGTTGCGGTGATTATCTTTCTCCTTCTGCGCCTCCTCTTCCTTGACGTAAGTTTTGACGATATGCTCGACATCGCCGATCTCGATCAAGACGTTTTCAGGCTTCAGATCAGTGTGGATGATGCCACATTCACGGTGCAGATAGTCCAGACCCAGCAAGACCTGCTTTGTGATCTGCTTGACCAGAGGCATTGGGATGCCGCGATGATTCCAGCGCTTGATCAGACCAAGCAGATTCTCACCGAGGACCTCAAAGACCATGCAGACGTGGACGCCGTTCGGACCTCTGTGCTCGAAGGAATCTAACAGGCTGACGACGTGTTTGCGACCGGGGTGGTCGGGCCTGGCATCGACAATTCTCTTGAGGAGCTTGATCTCATCGATGGCGGTCTCAGTGTAATGGGCGGCGGAGCGCACGACCTTCAAGGCGACGTGCTTGCCGGTCGTGGTATCTCGCGACAGCCAGACGGTGGAGAAGTGGCCCCAGCCGAGCTTTCGGATGACGACGTAGCGGCCGTTGTTGTAGGTCTCACCGACCTGGACGGGGTGGTAGCCGCCCTTGCAGTAATCCTCGGAGTCCTCCTCATCAGCGGCGGTTTCGGCGAGGTCTTCTGCGGAGGAGGAAGAGGACGGGGAGCGCGAGAGGGGGGAGGCGTAAGTGGTGGAGACGGGATACTGTGCGGACGCGAGAGGGTTGCTGGCGGGGAGGTCAGTCGCTACCCAAAAATGTCGGACAGCAGCAGGAGGAGGAGGAGGAGGGTATAGATCGGTGATGGGCAGGGGACGACATTGGTCTTTCGAGAGGTGGTGATGGGATCTGGCGGAATAGTGGCTTCTGAGGGCAAGGAAGAGGGACATGATCATGGATTGAGAGAGGGAGAATGGGATAGGGGGACAGTTGGGAGATGGATCGGGAAGACAGAGGGGGTGGATTTATTGCTTACCTAGATTGCGAGGAGGTCATGTTGATCGAGGTGGAGGATGGGTTGGCGGCGGCGGCGGCAGAGGGAGGGTCGTTTGTGATGATGGGTTTCAGGTCAGCTTTTCTCCTCTTCTTGCCCGGGGTCCCGTTGGCGGCAAAGGGGAGGGAGGAGAGATGCTCCGGGCTGGAGACGGCGGCGTGCCTGATGTCATCCCCATCCATGGTGGCCCTGGAGGCGAGCAGAACGGGGTTGTCTGTGGGACGGAGAGGAGCAGCAAGATAGAGAGGGTGTGCGGGGCGACAGAGAGGGAGGAGAGTTTGAGGTTGAAACTCTGGAGCTGGACGAGACTATTGGTGGGTGGCGGGCGGGAGTTGAAACATGGGGGGGAAGAAGAGAAGTATGATAGCCACGGGGGCAGCGGGTAGGGTTTGGAGGGGGGGATGGGAGCAAGAGTGAGTAGCAGCAGCCAGGTCTGAGAGGTTCTGGCAGCGAGGGCGCGAGAGAGAGAGTAGCGTGAGAGCGAGAGAGAGAGAGAGACAGAGAGAGGAGCGAGGCGCTGGTCCGGTCTTGCAAGGGTGGGCGGCTAGGAGACCAACCTTAAAAAAAAGAAGAGGAGAGGACCAACAAACAAAATAAATGGGCCAAACGCGGGTCCCTTTTTCTTCTTCTATCAATGACAAGTTAACAATGGAGGAGATATTCAAAGGATACAAGAGAGACACAGAGACAGAGAGACAGAGAAAAGACAGAGAAAGACACGAAGAGAGACGGAAGAGTGATGGAAGAGAGGTTATCACGACGGTTTTTTTTGATGGTGACGATGAAAAGCAGTTGAAAGAACCAAAAAAAAAAAAAAAAAAGAGAACAAGTTATGTAAGCATCGCCTGTTTTTTGTCTTCTTTTTTTTTTTTAAAAGATGATTCTTCTTCTTTTCTAAGATTCTTTTTTGTTCTTTGGATTCTTTCTTTCTTATTTCTTTTTTTCTTCTCCTTTGGCCTGGACAAAGGACAATCGGCTGGGCGTGTGGCTGCCGTGTCGTCCGTCTGGTTGTCTGTTGGGCAGCCAACTTTGCCCTCGAACTACACGAGTCGTAGTTTTAAAACTAGTTTGGTGATGGGGTTTGGGTGATGCTGTCATTGCGCAAGTTAGCTTTTGGTAGCTTTTTTTTTTCTTTTCCTCTCGACCTTTACTCTCGTAGCACAAACAGTACATCCCCATCATGCAGAGTTAATTACTTATGCGTACCAGCGTTGGTTGAGCCCAGGCCAAATAGCTGCTGGTTGATCTCACCGTGTCAAGTCGGGAATCAAAAAGCCATTGTAGCGTTGTCCGTCCGGCTCACAAAGGGCCAATTCCCCACCCACCATTCCGTCCAGAGGAACCGGGGGGAGTCGTATTAAATATATCGATCGTCGAGAGATACTCAACACGCGGAAGATGGGCCCCTTCGACCCGCCCTCCCTGGCTACTCAGTTCCTCGCCTCCCCGCTGCTCTTCATCCTCCGCCCCGTCTACGGCATCCTGTCCTCAGTCCGCCCCGACCCCTATACCCGCTCCCCTTCCCAGCAGCCCGTCCGCGTTGTGTGCATCTCCGACACCCACACCCTCCAGCTGTCCAGCGTCCCCGATGGCGACCTGCTCATCCACTCCGGTGACCTCACCAACGCCGGATCGCTTGACGAGATCCAGAAGGCCGTTGACTGGCTCAGGACCCTGCCCCATACACACAAGGTCGTCATCGCCGGGAACCACGACAGCTGGTTTGATCCGGACGCCAGGTCGCTCGTCCCGCCCTGCCCCGTCCGCGAGGCCGTGGACTGGGGGGACATCCACTACCTCGAGAACACCTCTGTCGTCCTGTCCTTTGGCTCGCGCACCCTTAAGGTCCACGGTGTGCCCCAGATCCCCCAGCTGGACCCGGCCGTCCCGTCCGTCCACGCCTTTCAGTATTCGCCGTGGTCCAGGTCCGACCCGTGGCCCAGCCCTATCCCGCTCGACACCGACATCTTGATCTCCCACAGCCCTCCCCGCCATCATGGCGACGTGTTCCCCCACTCCGTCGGCTGCCGTTTCCTGCTCGAGGCCGCCTGGCGTGTCCGCCCCGCGCTGTATGTGTTTGGACACGCCCATGCCGGCCGCCGCGTGGAGAGGGTCTACTACGACGACTCCCAGCGCGCGTTGGAGGCCATGGCTGAGCGTCGCTGCGAGTCTGGCTTGCTGTGGGATCGCGGTTTTAGATCGTGCGTCTGGTGGTTCTTCCACGGAGGGCTGTGGCGAGACATGGTCAGTGTGTTCTGGGCCTGGAAGGATGCCCTCGTCGTTCTCTGGAGCGCCGGGAGATCGATCCTCTGGACCCGGATCTGGTGCGGACAACGTTCGCTGGGTAGGGAGGGCTGGATGGTCAACGCTGCATGCATGGACGGTCGAGGGAGTGGATTGCTCACGGGCCCCGCGACCGTGATCGATCTCTGAGGGAAGATGCCGTGTCTACCAGGCCAACGTCGCGACTCTTGTTTGTTGGGCCTTGTTGATGTCTCGTGATCCGCCCCTGCTTTTGGTAGCGTTGATCCTCACAATGGAAAAAATCTCAGGATACATCCTCGAGCTCCATACGAGCCGAGATTTTTTTTTTTCAAGAGATGCTTAGGATGAGTGCAAGCACTTAAAGTCACCTCACTCTGCCTGAGCTCGCTTCCAGAGAGGCTCCTCACTCAACCCGTATGCCTTCCCCCCCTTTCCAAGCATCAAAAGGCCCGCCAGAAAGCTCCCTTTCCTGAACCCGTTGCTCAACCTTGAATTGTCTTTTGTCGGCTGCGATCCTCCTGCTGATCGCTCCCTTCTGGGATACCTTGTCTAATAGAATCTGAGAAAAAAGAAAAAAGGCCACATCACCCAGAGACAGTCTACTTCGCCGTTCTCGTCATGGCCAATCGTATGAACCGAGCTTCGCGACTCCCTCGATTTCTCATGAGCAATGCAGTCAGCGAGCGCGATGGGCCCGATTGGATGGATGGCATTGCGACCCTCGACTTCGACTCCTTCCCGCCTTTCGAGCATGTAATCCCCGAACCGCTGCTGGCGGCAACTAATCTGCCTCCATATTACCGCTTGCTGTGCGATGAGCAGGTAACTGCGCTTTTGTCTTGGGCTTCAAAGGGAAATATCTCCAAAGAATTGTTGGGATTGTACTGGCCGGGGGATTTCAACGGTGATGGCAAAGTGAAGCGCAACCGCCGTCCCTGGAGATACGGGGACAACAAGAGCCTTGCCGCGAGGCCAGTTTACTGGACTTTTCAAAGTTCCGGAAGACCAATGCAAGGAATGAAGCTGCTGTCGCCCACCGAGCACGAGGAAAACGAGGATAAAAAAAGAAAGGCAGAAGGCCCCGATGGCAAGAGACCTTCCAAGCTAGTCCTGCTCCGCGATGAGCGGGATAGCGAAAAGATAGTTGAACTCCAGTACGAAGTCGACCAGCTGCAGGCTGCCCTGAAACGCTCCCAGGCAAAACAGCAAGGGCTACTTTCGCAGATGGACCAAATCGAAACTGCAATGTCGGTGCGCTCGGAACTCGTCACAAACGCGATAGTCAACTATCACTTGTCCGTAGCCAACCTTCAGATCCTCTCTCCTGCGATCTCTTCTCTCGTGGATGAAACCGTCTCTGCGGATGATATCGCCGAGGCTGCTGGGGGCCATGCTACCCTTGATCATCGAGTTCGAGTGGTGAAGGAAGTGGCAAAGCGGCTTAAGATACCGGTAAACATTCTCCCTGGTGATATGGACGGGGAAGAAGTAGATAATGCTCCTCTTAACGCCCTCTATCGCACCTAAATGATAGGAGAGCTTTGCAGGGAGGGTCCATTAGCTTGTGAATCTTAGATAGGATTGTTGATGTGCTGAAATACATAGGGCGGTTGTGCCTGCTTAACACAAAGGAGTGAGAGGGGGCTGTTTGGTACGTCCTTAGGGTTGCTTCGGAATTTTAAGGATGAATGGGCTTGACATTAAAGGATTGGTGTCCTGGTTTCTTTGGACTGCCGGAAGGAGAGATATTGATGGCTGAACTGGCGAGCATAAGCAACCTGGATCTGTAGCTCTTTTAAGACGATAAGATCGATCCTGAACAATGTCCAGAAAATTTGAGCAGCATAAGCTCACAATTGTTCCTTACCCAAGGCGGGTCCTGAAAAACATCCGTAGAAAAAAGGGCGTTGATCCCCAACAGAGCCGGATTGTTCGCAAGGCTTTATGCTCGCCCTTAACAAGGACCCTTCTCTGTTGTCTGTATCCTCACATGGTAAGGGTGATCAGATATTGACCGTCTTGCGTGGGATGTTATTCTCCCCTCGTACCACCCCATTCCCCTCCCTAACTACTGATCTAAATGCAACCTCGAGATGGCCCGAAGCGACGAAGCAGAATGGTGGTTTAACGCCGTGTACGCAGCTATCCAGCAGATCCCTCGTGGCAAAGTTACTTCTTATGGGCATATTGCTCGTTTGCTCGGGGAGCGTAAGTTACATGATTATCTATTTTACTTGACCAGCGCAATTCTGACGATCCTAAAGCCCAACGATCGCGCCAGGTTGGCGTGTGTTTGAAGCATCTTCCATCTGAGAATAATGAAGAGGACGGGCCACGCCATTTCTATCACGATGGCAACGTTCCATGGCAGAGAGTGATTAATGCAAAAGGGATGATCTCGCATCGGTATGTGTCCTCGAGTCAGACTGTCCTTGGAGGCTTACTCCAGGCAGCATCACACGCTCTGACTCAACAATGTCCATCGCTTGCCGTTGACGATCCGTATGAACTGGGGCCATTCGTCCTCTGACTCACTTTTTGAACGAATAGAGGACCCGGCTCAGCTGCGCGCCAAGCAGCCGCTCTCGAAGTTGAGGGGGTGACGGTTACGGCGGATAGTATGGGCGAGTTTTACGTTGATTTCAGCGAGTTTGGATGGTTCCCGGATCACCTCCCAGGGGAAGAGACCAGCGACGAAGAGCAAGGCGGCAATGAGAGCTGAGTGAATCTGGAGCGCGGGAGAGCTTACTATTCAATGTGGTTGCCCCGAAGTGGGCATGCGCATTGATGCATCAATTGACTTGCAATAATAGGGTTTAGTTATATATGCTCGCTAGGTGGTTTACTGAGTCGACTTTTGTCGGCTTTCTGTCAGAGGACCCATCCGAGGAGAGAAACCGTTGCAAGAAGAGCTGATTATCTTGTTTTTGATAACGAGTTACTTACCAGTGAGAGCTATCATGTGCGACCATTTGAGTGAAGCAACTATCCTGGATCACTCCATCTGTGGTACAGAGCAGTTGCTGGTTATTGGTTAGCTAATTACGGAGTACAGAGTAGAGGGTTGTAGTGACATGATTAACTAGTGACATGATGGTCAATGCTTCGTTCGCAGCATTCCCAAAAGACATTTTAGGATAGATTCAATATTCTTCCCTCCATGGGAGAAGAGCGAGTAGGGGATCTCAGATACGGACTCGGCACTCTCGACACTCCAGGACTAAACGCTAAAGGTCTGATTAAAGAAGTTTGGGAGTTTGTGTCACAACGGTTAACTATCAACCGCAAGGCTGGGGACACGCCGAGCCTGGCGTGAGAGGAGTTGCGCGAACTGTCAACTACCGAAGACAATTAATACCCAAGCCTAACCCCATGCGAAGTGTTTTCGAAAGACTTAGGCTGCCCGGCCTCCCCAGCAGGAGGAGGAGGGAAAGCCGTGAGCAGCTGTCTCGTTTTCCGTTGCTCTCGCTCCCGCCCGAAATTCGCGAGGAGGTTTACCGATTCTACTTCGGCCCAGAAGCCATCCACCTGGCCAGTGATCAGGGAAGAATCACCAGCTATCGATGCAAGCAAACGGATCCATCCCCCGTCTCGGATTGTTGCACGCGACCGTATTGTATTGCTTACTTCCAAGCTGCCGCCAGTGAGAACGATAGGAATTCGCGAGTAAACACCGCTCTGCTCTACACATGCAGGCAGATATACCGTGAAGCCTCAGCAATGCTTTACAGGTCGGTGATTTTCCAGACCAATGCGATGGTCACCTGGGTTCTCTTTGCTGGAATGATATCACCCGGGCATCTGGCAATGGTTAAAGGGCTGCGGGCTTGTTGGATAGCTTTACCGTGCTTGACCATGGCGCCCATCCCACCCAACGACCCCAGATACCCTGAATATGAACACTACACAGTCTTCATGGATGGGCATTTTCGAGAGTTTTGGGAAATCCTCGGCAGCAGAATGTCGGGTCTACAGGATCTGGGCTTTGTGATGGACTATACTGGACAGTTTTTGTCTCGGGCAGTGACGGCAGAATGGCACCGCCAGCTTACAAAGGTGACGGGCTTAAAGAGGCTCGACCTCCAGATCTGGGATACTTTTGGCGGTGCACAATGGCAGACCGGAAGGGATGAGGCCAAGGCAGCGGCGGAGATGGAGGTTCTGATGGAGTACCTGAAGAAACGAATGTGCTCGAGAGCTCGCTGTGAAGTGTCGTCGTAACAGGTGCAACTTGGGATCGAGGAAATCGGCCTTGCCAGGTAAGACCGTAGAGTTGGCCACTGGGCGTCACCTCAAGGGCGATCGACGATGGCTCTTGGGGGAGGGAATTAGGGTGGTCTTCTTTTGGGGCAACCATACATGGCTGTTCTGAATACCGGTCCTGCGGGAAATCGACCGATAGCCACGTCCCTCGGCTGTCGATCGTCGGGTGAGCTGAGGCCATGCATCGGGAGATATCTCTGGGACGTCTTCGGGTTGTGGCGGGAAGTGGTTACATCGCCGCAGCCAATGACCGGATAGAAAAGTTGACGTGGAGGGCTCGGATGCTTCCTTTGCTGATTTGTAAATAGCGAGATGGAGATGGCTGGTTAAGTTAGTATGGAAGTGGGATGGTTTGTCAGCGTGGATGAGCGCCCGGCTGGTGAGGAATATCGAGCGCAGAACCACTCGGGTAGTAAGTACTGGGCATGAAGTTCGAGCGTTGCATATTCCATGCAGATGCAGGTCTGAAACTTGGTTCGCATAACACTCACACCTTGAGAGATCCGGACAACAGTGAACGCGACCGCCAGGCCAACCAACCACAGGAGCGTCCTGGAAGGGGAGGGAACAGAGCTGAGCCAAGCCTCGCGTTTGCACGGGAGAGCATTTCCCACGCAGACAGGTGTTTATCGCTCTCTGCTGGTGGACGTGATAAACATGTATGTACTCGATGTTCCACGGGCGAGTCCGACGCCTTCTCTTGGAACTTCGAATAGGTTCGTTGGTGTTGGGGTTTTGGGGGAGTTCAGGAGCGTTTGCGTCCGCAGGATGGGTCTGAAGCATCACCGGGTCATTCTTGCGGCCTGGAAACACACGATGTAGCTCGGCAGTCTCCAAGGCAGCATCATCCAGCTCGAGACTGCATCCGTTGCCCGCTGCTGGTTGTGGTCGTTCGTTCGTTGCGATTGGCCCGTAATGTTTCCGCCCCCTTGAGCTGGGTTCTATATCGAAGGTCCCTCCCCTCCCTCACGGAGTCCTCCGGAGGTACTTCGAACAATCCAACGCCGTAATTACCACTGTATTTGTTTTGTTTCGTCCAAGAGCGAGCCACGTCGATGACTCAGCCAGGCACCGCCCCCGCTAAACACTGAAAGCGGCTACTAGAGTGCCTTGGCCACACACCCCCACTACGCTAAACCAGTTACGGTCGCTGATGTGGAGCAGGTGACTCAATTTGGATGACTAACAAACCTTATACTGCGATGACGTAATGCCTCGTGCGGGTGTTTCCAAGAAAGGGGAGTACATTGGAGGTACCTGCGTGTTCCAGTGCAGTCTTGCCGCAGCCCGCCGCAGCCTGGAAGGTACCCCGGGAGGGACACCCAGGTTTTAAACACAAACCACCTTGGAAAAGACGCAAGACGCCGGCCTCCCTTCCACCCCCCCGGGGCACAGGCACCACTCCGTCCCGGCAGCCGGCAACAGGCAGGGCATGCGGCCGAACGACAGGCGCAGACCTCCCGAGACACATCCCCCTTGTGACTCTTGATTACCATTTATTTATTCTTGTCCGTGTCTCTTCCGCTCGAGACCCCAGGGCTAGTTTACCTATCACGCACTAGACCGGCCAACTGACTCACTCACTCACTCTCTCACACACCTTATCAGCCAGTCAACCTTGCTATTGGTTTGATATTTATGTGTGTGTATACATATATATAAACCATCCTCTGCCCTGACCCGGAGTCTTCTGTCTTTCCCCTCCCCAGGCCACAGATAGCCCGGAGCATCTCATTCACCTCACCACATTCTGCAATCCCCACACCCGTGGTCCCTCTCTCTCTCTCTCACATTCACACACACATTTCTCTCTCTCTCTCTCTCTCTCTCTCTCTCTCTTGCTTAGTTCCACCCCTCCCTCTGATCTCGCTCGTTCACCGCCTTCCTTCAGCTCGTGCAAGTCCCAAGCAACGATATTATGGCTGGCTCTACACTCATTCTTCCTACCACAGACGTCCGGTACACCGCCACTCAATCCAAGAGAGACCACGACCAAAAGGCGAAATGGGCACGTGGCTCACGTCCCGGCATGGGCCAGCCGTGGGAAGGCTATACCACTGTACGACCGGTGTTGCCTCTCGCAAAATCGTTAGTTGATCCCCTCGCCCTGCTCACCCCTTTCTGCCTCTACTCTGGCCGATTCCATCGAAAGCTGATATCTTTTTGTTTTCCCCTCTGCGGTAATAGCAAGGTGGATCGAAAAGCCCACATCGTCACTCTCAAGCGTCAGGCCATCCCATCCAAGAATCCTCGGTCGCACCTTCGTTCTGTCTACTACGAGGATATGAGGGAGGCTAGCGATCTTTCGGACACCCTCGACGATAAGGGCTCTGGCCCTAGCCCAAGCTCTCCAGCCGGTGATGTCGATGTCTTTTATTCCTTCGACGCTAGAACCGGACCTCGAGCAGGTGAACACCTCCTGTCAGTGGCTCTAGAGAGGGCGGTCGAGCGGTTTGAGACCAAGGAAACGGAGAAACTTGTCCGGGAATATGACTTCGTAGACGAACGCGAATCAACCGATGGTGGATATGCCGCAAACGACGATGACTATGAGTTCATAGATCGCGCCACACTTTGATCAGGCCGCTCTACGGTTTCACTTAGTTCCTTTTGCTTCCGTTTTTCCCAGTACGTGCTGAGAATGGTTTCTTCTTCAGCATTTGTTTCCTTCCTTTAAATAGACCTGCTAGTTTGACGGCATGGCATGGATTGGCGACTACCTTCAGATCAGGAGCATTGTTGCATTTTCTTTCTTTTTTTTTTTCCATTAGTTGTGTACTATGGGTCAAGGATCAAGAGAGGAGTGCTTTGGCGAATTGGGCGCTTCTTGAGGACTTGAAACTTGTATCATTATTCCGGTTGGAATTTTCCTTGAGTTTGGGCAGTTTTGTACATATCTTTCTCTCCTTGGTATAGGTACTCCGCTGGGGATTGTTCCTTTGGGATGGCTTAGGAATACGTTCCTCAGCCTACACAGTTGTATGGACCATAATACCCGGTGTCATATTGAGCCGACGACCTAGCAGTTTATATATGAGCCCTATTCTTATACACTTCCGAGAATTTGTAGTTGCGTGTTCGGTTGTGCGTGTGCGGATGTTGCGTGTAAACTAGATAGACCTCGGCTGGAAATTCGTAAAACCGTCAGCCTTTAATGTAGAGGTGAATAGGGCGGTATCGGGCTGCTCCACACGAGGATAGATAACGAGGTAAATTCGCCAGGGTAGTTTTCTACACGACCATACCCTTGACTGTAGGATCGGCGAAGCATTCCATGCGCGGTTTCTGCCTGATCAGCTCCCCCACATGTTTAACGCAGTCAAGTTCGCCCCAGCGACTTATGCTAGTACGGAAGGATGTCCAATCCTTTCTCAACTGATTGTCACCGTTCAGGTTAGCCGCATGTATACGAAGGGAAAGATATGATCACACATACCCATGACCTTATCCCACCTCATTCTTCCCTCAAAGTCTCCGCTCTCATCTCTCATGATCCACAGATCTTCTAAAAACGCTCTTGCGCTCCTAACATTTCCCATTCCGTACTGAGACTCAATTCTGGAGAGGAGGGTTCGGACGTCATCACGGTCCGCGGCATCACACGCCTCGCATCCCGCAGCAAACAGTGGTTGTAGAACAGCCACGCCCGGACACGGCTCGTGTAGGAAGTGTATGGCTGATACTCGATGGATGATCTGCTGCACAGACTTCTGCACTAAAGTGCTCGAAGAAGGGAGATTTAGGACGCGCCTGTAGAGATGAAGGAGAGCGACGTGATGGTAAGTTTCATCGACAGCTGCAAAGTCAATTCGGTGGAGACTGGACAGGGAGGCGTCGATCGTTGGGCGAAATCGTGGCTCATGAGAGGCAAGCATGGAGCTGATGTTCTCTATCATTCTGAAGCATCGTTCGCGAATTATGTCATTGGGAATGCTCGAAATATCGTCAGTACCTGTCGGACATTGCTGCTCTCCGCTCAGTCCAGATTCGACAGCGAGGAGGTTAATGTCACCGAAGATGGGTATAAGCGCCGTAGAAAATCCGGTGAGATCGTCGATCTCATCATTACCTATCAAGCGCCGTAGCTGAAGGACTGTTCGCGATCCCGGAGAGATAACCAAATTCCCGCTCAATAGAGTAATGGTTTCTATAGAAAGATACCAGCGCCAAAGCAATAGAGTAGCCTCTGACAGCGAGGACCCGGAATTCCTGGCATTTTGCAAATGCTCGGCTATTATCGCCGCCGTTCCATGTAAATGTGATCTCCACGAGCCTGGACTCCGACCGTCGGATACAATATCGGCGGTGCATAATGTTAGAGTGGTGGCAATAACTGCGTGATTCAATTCTTTTCTCGGCTGCGCCAAAGCGGCCTGAAGCTGCCGCAAACTTGTAAACTTAAGCCAGTCGAGCTGCGTGATGCTCTGATCCATACCCAAGCATATTCGATGCGTTGCTGCGAGACTTAATAGGGCGACAAATAAGTGGGATGTCTGAAGGGCCATAGGGATAAGTACAGAGCAATATGTACGCTGGATCATTGGATGGCAAGACAGAGAGAGGGTTGTGCAAGACATAAAATGGTCCAAAAGGAACCGATACGCAGGTGGGATCCATTGCAATTCGTACGGGTTTCGTGGAATGACGCTGTTCGGAGCTTGGTTAACTCTCTGGGGGCGCAAAGGGAACACAGCTGCTGAAAGTGAGCACTCGGCTTCCGTCCGGTCGAAATTAATGGTGTCTCCAGTGTAGCTGGAATCTGTATCATCGCGACAACAGACGTTAGCAAACAGCGTCGAGTCGCTTCAAGACAGTTGGTATACGTGCCACTGGACAGCTGCTGCGGCACAGAAGCAGGTTTGGAGGGCTTTCCAGAGCCATAGACGAAAGCTCCCTTGTCACCTAGCCGACGAATTTAGTTAGCTAAATCGCCCACTGGCGGGGGGTGTGTTGTTTCAGTCGTCGATCTGGGTTTCGCACCAGAGGTTGGATTAAAGGGAACTTGAACCAGCCCAGGGTCGTTTCGAAGGCATTCGCCGAATCGCGATTTGGAAAAAGGTCGACCGCCCCATGTAAGGCGCAGAGTGTAGACACATTGCCTACCGGAGCGTAGGCAGCCTGAGCAGGTGGGCTTTCGCTCGTCACACTTGCGGTGTCTCTGACGGCATTCTGTGCAGCCGGAGCGGGAACGACGTTTGGGTCGCGATGGAGTTGCTTCCATGGAAATATCTAGGAGCCTGGTTTAAGAGCAAATGAGATTGGGTCCTCTTTATGCCTTCGCTTCTTACGACATTGTGATCTCTCAATAAGTTCAGAGTAGTTAATGTTCGGCTCGGAGTTGCGGCGGGGAAGATTTTCAGTGACCGCCAAGCGCTTCCACTCTCTCGAACCGGCCGGCCGTCTTGGAAAAGCAGCGCCCACGGAAGTATTATACAAGCCACTCTTGTGAGTTACAGCGCTGTTCGAAATAGTAGGCGATGGCTCTACAAGGCACATCCTTACCGTGGCTCCAGAGACACAGTCAAACCATCAACGCCCAGTTTACACCGTAATCATGTATAGGTCCTTTGAATTATGGCCTGAGAACATGGGCACCCGGGACAAAGGGCCTTCGTAGATATTGATATCAAACCCAAAAGGACTCATAGCATACTAACTACTAAGCAGTCAAAATTTGATCTTCCTCTGTATTGGCCCCAGCAACTGGGTCCTCACAGCACCGGATCGCTCTCGCGAGGGGTGGAATATGCACTTTGGAATGAGAGACAAGGGGGAAAAAAGAAAGGTCAAAAAGAAAGGGAAAGGAATGAGGTGTACTAGACGCTAGGAATATAACAGTTAGCATGAAATTCACTCATATCAACACCCAACCCTCCAATAACAATAATCTTAAAAACGTATGCCGTCGCCGGGGGGGAAAGGGGGGGGGGTGGTGCCATAAAGGCGTGGCCCAAGCTGGAGAGTTCGATGTCAGGCCCGTTTGATTTTAGGTGCTTTCACCAGAGAAATGCATACCTGGTCTTCAGATTGAATCTGGACTCAACAGATAATAAGCGTCCCTTCCAACTCTAGGACCTTGAATCAGCCCCCGCCCTATGGCTGGTAGCCAGGAGCTTGTGGTTTAGGTATTTTTTGAGGCTTCTTGCATCAATTTGTGAACACGAGATGCAGTTTGGAGCACAGAATCTGACCGCTGCAATGCACCCTTGGCCAAGCTTCTGATTTCTTCTGACTTATATACATCCAAACTATCTGATTGTGGAGCATCTTGCGTTGTGTTGATATCGACAGCCTTAGAGACGGATGATACACTTTCATCAAGGTCGTGGGCGCAATCCAATAGTAGTTTCTGAAACTCAATGGCAAGAACTAATTCCATTGGAACCTTTGTAGTGGGAACAAAAGATCCAATACGTAGCCTATGACAGGGAGATGGCGATCCAGTTGCCTTAGGGTTGCATTTCCCATTCTCAACGGACCTTTTGAGGTGTTGAAACACGAGATCCCACATATCGAGAGTGCGGTGGTGACAGGACAGCAGCTGATGCAAAGAGGCCTGATCTATTGTTCTCCTGGACATGTGTGGCGTGGTGGAAGGTATCTTTGAAGAAAATGACTGGATTTGCTTGAGGACAGGGGGATACAGATCGATGAGGTTCTGCGTTAGTTCAAACATTTTAACAATCGCAAACAAGGTCCCATGACCCGTTGGCGACTCTGCAGCAGCAGCAGCAAGCACCCTATCATAAGCACCTTTGTCGTCATGGATAGATAACGGTGGTAGGGACACCCAATTATCTTCCAGGTTAACGAACAGGTTTGCCAACTGATGACCTAGCCTTTCTGGGGTGATATGTCCAGTCCTATTGGTATTTTGTGAAGTGCGACGTTGAGATTGATAAAGAGTTGCTGAATGCTCAGTGACCGGCCAAATAGATGGGCTTAGGCAGTTAAAATCGAAGCTGCTTAACCATTCGTCATTGTGCACAGCGTAGCCAGGAAGCAACTGGTTAGGAACCGTTTCCTGGGCAGGAAAGGCGGTGCAAGGGCTATTAGCAGAGACCCGCTGACCAGAGTCCGAAGTCTGAGCCAAGAAATCGCTTGGGCCTGGACGAGACGGCCCTCCCGTGCCCGTGCTTGGGTTGCATGGAGTGTGTGGCTGATGGAAGATGCGGTCCGGGTGGCATCGATGATCCACGGTTGGCAAGAGAGTCTCATCGAGAAGGTTCAGGAAAGCCGACGGGTCTGCAGCCTGACAACTTTGAAGCTGTAGGGCTGGAGGAGGTTCCCTGGTTGCACCTTGTTCTCGCTCCCTTGTTTGGGGTCGGAGTCCACGCATGGAGGGGCTGAATACGCAGGAAGCAGATGCCCTGATACATCGAGTGCAAACCTCGCTCCCTGCAACTTTGGAGCACCGTAATTTCAAGGAATTGCAGCGGTCGCAAGCCAGCCGTTTCCGCCTGGGAGCATGAGAAGCCATGCTCGCTTCCGCCGGGGCTTGTGAATATTAGCACATTAATGATGATGGCTGGGAGAAAAGGGACTTGCTAAAACTATTTACTGAGCCCAGGTCACCCCCTGAACAACAAACTCAGTTTTTATGGGCTAATTACACCATTTGTGGCACATTGACAAGATGAGATGATAGGAATATCAATCGATGGAAGAAGATCACACGAGGCTGACGTTTGGTAATAACTAAGTAGTCGCCAAGTGCCAAGCTTTTAGTTAACAAATTAACACCTGGACATTTCCCTCCTAATCATTCAGCTTTTCTGCGGCAAAGCCCTCCGCAGCAAGGCCTCGATGTCTGTGAACTCGTAATCCGGCATGATCTTGTTCCAGCTTGGCTCCACGTCGATATCTCCACGGACCCCGGCCATGAGGAATTCCGGAAATATCCGCCGCGCGACAGCCTCTTGCTGCTCGACGGGGATTTTCGGATGGCTGAGCGGCGGCACCCAAGGCAGATGTGCCTGCCCCTTCTCAAGGTCTTCCCGCTTTACGGTATGAATCGTCAATGACTCTCCTGATTCCGTTAGCTTCATCTTGTTCTTCTTCTTGTCCACTTTTCTTTTTTCTTTTCTTTTTCTTTTAAAAATCTGGCGAGGGTGAAAACCAGCAAGAGGACAATATACTTCATACCTAAGACATCTTCGACAAGCTTGATCAGATCTTTCATCTTGATCCTACTTCCAACCATACCGCCGATCTCCGGCCAATTTCCTTGATAGTCGATTGCTCGCGCGACAACTTTCGCCATGTCTTGAATGTCTGTGAAGACAAGCCAGTCTGCTCCATCATCCACCTGGATAGCTTGCTTCTCTTTTACACTCAGAAAAAGCGGTGTAATGTGCAGGTACCGGGTTGTCTTATATGGGTATGCCAAGTAATTCATGAAGAGCCCTGGTTGAAACAAGCAATATTCCAGCACTTGCCTGTCGGCATTTATGTCTTGAAGATATCTGTGGACCTCCCTCTTGAACTCTTGGCCTGGCAGGTATGCATCGCTCCGCCTGTTTATCGAAGATGGTGAGCGCTGTGTAAGTGTCTCAGGGAGGAGTTTTACCCACTGGCCCCACTCGCTTGGTGCAAATCTTCTGACCCCAGCGGCTATACATGCGTCGATGAGTGCCTTTTGCGTCTTGCTTTCAGGGTCATTGCTGACAAAGGACAAGACCGTATTGACACCTTTCAGGGAATCGACGAGCTCATCTCGATTCTTATAATCAACCCTTTTCACAGCAATACCAGGGTTTGAGAACTCAGGCAGCTCAGCCTACAATCCCATAAATATATTAACGATTTATGAGCTGGATAAGATGTTCATTTTGGATTGGGGGAAAACGACATACCTTTCGCGAAAAGACGGTGATTTGATGTTTTCCCTGCGCTGCGAGTTCCTCGACGATTTCACGCCCGACGTCTAGTAGATAATGTTAACTGAGAATATTTGACGCTTGAGGGGAAATGTTGCAATTGTTTACTTCCTGCTCCTACTATCGCTATGTGGACCATTCTTTTAAATATAAATCAGGCAGTAATCAGACCTCGACACTTGCGGCAGAGGGGGGTTTATAAATCCGTGTCAATGAGCTTCAGTTCATAGACAGATGGTTTCGTCGCTGCAGGAAAAGGGTTTGTATCTTCATATATAGGCTTTTAGAACTCGGGGAGCTTGGGCCTCCCTGCCGATATGAGTTTCTGCCTTTGCTTCACCGAAGCACCCGCGAAGGCGACCTTGTTCAGCGCTCGTACTTAACTTACAGCCGATGCAAACAAATCGGGCAAACACGACGTCACCGAACGTCACCGAACGCCAAGACCGAATGCCGAAGCTCAAAGCTTTGTAGCAGCTAATGCGGAAATGGTTTAGTGCGTACGGAGCATGTGAGCCGCAAATCTTTTAGTCAGCGGCTACATAGGGCTGGTCGTCGCGGAAACTGAGAACTCGGCACGAAAGTCAACAACACCGGGACCCCTGGCGTCGGCAACTGGACAATCATCAGCCAGCTGCCTCGAGGGATTCGGTTCATTTGCGTTGCTGTCACTCCCACTCCAAATCCCCCATCTTCGCCATGGAAAAACGTACCAACGAGTCCCCGATGGACTTCGAATGGCAAACGAAGGCCCCCGGAGATGTGACGTCCCCTTTCTACCAACTAGCGATGGAGCACGAGAAGAGTGGAAATAAGCGTGAGAGAGCATTCACATCTACATGGACACTTTGCTCGTAGCAACATGCACAGCTGACCATACCTATCTAAAGGCCCATTCAGTGTCTTCAATTCCCCAACGAAAACCTTTACGGAACCGAATCAGCGCTTTGAATTCTCGCAACCGCTAGACACAACACCCGCTTTTCATCCCAACCCAGCCTTCGCGACACCACGAAAATTAGATTTCGACTTTTCATCCGGGCCAGAAAACTCGCCTGATACCCACGTAGACAACGATGAAACTCCAGAGCCGCCGTCAAAATCGGACCGAAGGAATTCGTTGTTTAACTTCTACGGTAGATTCGCCCCGAGCCCAGGTCGTGGCGAGATTCCCCGTATAGATAGGTTTGCAAATGTGGCGATCCGGAGAGTTCAGAAACGAAGGAAGCGAGAGAGAGAGGTAGAAAGACACTTGCGCAAAGTCAGTGAGGCGGACTCTGTCTCGACAGCCCGTGAGAGGTATACCAGACGCGATAAACCGCCAAGAGAAGGGGTACAAAAGCATCAAGACATACCCTTTTTTTCCCGGCTCTTTACATTTCTCGAATCTCACCCACATATTCCCCGCATTCTGTCGTACTATGTTCAGTTCACGTTTAATCTTGTCCTTGCCTTCCTCGCTCTCTATGTTATTGTCGCCTTCCTACTTGCGATCAAACACGATATGGATCGCACAAGAGAGGGGGTGTCCGCCGATATTTTGGCTGAAATGGCCACCTGCACCAAGAACTACGTTGAAAACAGGTGTAGCGGAGAAGATGGGAGAAGATTACCGGCTCTGGAGGCTGTCTGCAATAACTGGGAACGGTGCATGAACCAGGACCCAGCCAAGGTTGGGAAAGCAAAGGTCTCAGCTCAAACATTGGCGGAAGTTCTCAATGGGTTTATCGAGCCTATTAGCTTTAAAACCATGGTATGAAACGGTCCTGGTCCCTGATGAAAAGGTGAACTATTAGCTGACAAATCCTGCCAGATATTCTTTATCGCTTCGATTACATCCTGCGTTGCGGTCTCAAACTTGACATTCTCCTTCTTTCGAAATAAATCAAATAATCCTCCCGAATCGATGCCCTCGCGCAGACCATTTACTCCACCTAGTATGTACCCTAGCTCGTCGCAGGTTGCTTTTACCTCTGGGCACAGTGGATTTGGAATGGGAGCCCCGGGTTATGCGCCATACTCGGTGCAAGGTATAATTCCGCCTTTCGACATGAGCCCAGTGAAGTGTACCGATACCGATGAGCATCAACGGCAGATCGATTTTGGGCAGTTTACACGCCGGGTACAAACGCCCAGTCCATCCAAGCGGGAATCTAAGTTTGCTTAGTATTTTATCCTTCTTCTGCTAGCTCGAGATCGTACATGCTGGTTTAGGGCATATTCTTGGGAGCGCCGTGGAACGGATCTGAAAGGGCGTTACTGTTTTTAATCGGTCAGTGATAGGATAGGTGCGCAAACGGGTTTTTCCCATCCCTTTCTCACCCTTTTATTTGCCTTCTTGATGTTTGCTTGTATTCTCATTTGTTTGGTTCCTTTGTCTTATTTTATTTTCTTTTCCATCTTTTTTCCTCACTAAGGCCCCACAGAATTGCTACAAGCCTCAGTGATGCGGTTTTCGCTGTAGATATTTGCTGCCAGATCATTTCAAGGCGATAAATATTCGAGAAGATACCTCTTAAGCCATGTGAAGGTGTAGGCAGTGACAAATTGCGGTGTAGCTACCGTTTTGACCAGATCGTCTGCTGCGTGACGGCAACTTGCCGACCTGCAATTATGAATTTTGAGCATCAACAAACGAACTTTCTCGTCAGCCAAGCCCCATCTCTCTCTATCTCTCTGCCTTCTCTGATCGTTTGTTCTCGAGATTGACTCTAACAATTGAATTTACAGATGTTGAGGCATAAGAAATCATACTCAAGGAACCACTTCCAAGAAAACTTTGCGAGATACTCGGTGTGATTTTCACGGGGAAACACCTGTGTCATAAAGGTGGGTGAACTCTCTCCGGGTTATGCTCCATATCGTACAACTAGTGCACCATTGCTGTGGACTCAACCCTTCCATAAGAAAAAAAAAGCGCCAGTATTTTCGAATCAACTGCATATCAACATTTGACACAGGCTGGAATCCGTGCTCGAGGAATAAGCCCTCTGCTCTACAGGACAACTGAGAACATTGATCAGGAACTATGACAGTTTCATCCTAAGACCTTTCTCATAGATATTCGAAATATTGGAGTATATACACAATATGGGGAGACTTGCGTTGGTCCAACTTCAACAAAAAATGAAAGCATCAATGAAATTCACAAAGCAGTAGTTGAAGACTGTGACTTCCATCCAAAATGTATGATGATAGTGTGATATAAACTGGAAAGAGCAACCTGGGATAGAATTTGATAGAGGTCAGACGTTTAGCAGAAGGACTGGCTTTCCATCTGTTTTACAACTGACCGTCGGTCCTTGATGCTACGGGAACATGACTCTACCATACCACAAAAACACTGGACAAGACCTTTTAGAATTACCATTGCTGGGGAGCAGCTGTCAACATGATATAAGCCCTTGATTATAGATAGTAGATAATCTAGTTGATTGCCATGCCCATCGTCTAACATTACTTATTGTTGGGCCTGAGGAGCACTGTTATCGTCGTTGACCACACCATAGCCGGTAGGAGTCCTACCTCTAGTACAGCCGCGTGATGGCAATTGATCGGAAGTGGATAGTTCCGCTGGGACGGCAAATTAGGGTAAGGTGAATTGGAGTGACTTCGGGAAAGGTGCAAAGTACTCCCAGCGTGTTACCATATGACTCCCGTGTCGCTAAACCTTCCTTGCAAAAAGCTAGGGCATAATTTCCCCATCCTCATTCGTAGAATCACACCTCGCCGTCCCTCACCTTGTCCTTTGCAACACGCTTATTGACCAGACGCTCAGCGTAAAGCTTCCATAGGTACCATACGAAGAATGTCAAAAGCGTAAGCGGGATTGTAACTGCAGGATATATCCACCCTTGGGATGAGATGAGAATTCGGGTATCATTTGTTTGACTCTTCGAGGTGCTATCAGGCCAGTCAGGACCAGATATGAGATTTGTTCCGAGGAAGCCCTATGTTAATTGTCAGCACCCGCTGGACTGAAACCAAAGAGAAGAAAAGAAGTTAGCGTACCGCGACAAATGTACCGGGCGGGGATATCATGGTCACAATTGCAATTGTGCTCACGGAAGCACTCTCTTTCATGGCCTCTTCTGCCATTCTGGCACTAGAATTTATGCTGTGCCGTGTACTCGGGTTGAGGGGCTTGCGGCGAGAGGCCGTCGATTTATGGATTCATAAAGAATGTCAGCATTTCTTACCAGGTCTTACAGTCGCTGTGCCCTTGTCGCTACATCTTCGATCGAGGTTTTAAAATAAGTGATCTGGTTTTCGAAGCGCGCATATTCCTCCTCCACTCGAAGGTACAGCCAGTCCCGTTGGTCCGGGTCAACTATGCCTTTGACGAGTCTGTAAAATCGATCATGCTGCACACGCAAACTAGAGATAACTCCGAGGATGAAGTTCAGCTGGACTTTATCTTGATCAAGGCTGGTCAATGTCAGATGTAGTCGTCTCAAATCAATTTCGCCCACGCCAGCTTTTCCACCATGTGCTTTGATCTCCTCTTTCCTAACTGAATCACGAGGATCTCGAGCCGCTCGTCGGTAGTATTGGATGGTACTATTGAAATGTAGGAGGTGAAGTGAAAATGGGTTAGCAGCTAAGGTCGCCGTACTTGGATTAACAATGAAATCCAGCAATTTATGCTTAAGCTCTGTCTTTAGGTGCTTGGGGAGATCGTTGAACGATCGATGCTTAAGAATAACCACACTTGTTTGGGATTTGACGTCGTAATGAGTCACAATTGTCATCTTCAAGTCCGCTTCTTTGTCCACGGCACGCACATATGCCCGCGCTCAAATGGCATACCAGAAGTCTACCACAATTAGTATGGATCGTATCTGGTCAACACTTTCAAGCCACTAGTTGGTTTCAGCATGGTTACGGATGACCACCCTGGTCACCCACAACCCATGTTCCTCGAGCGGACTGCTGGCGACGAAAGGGCTAGTTCATGGTGTCATCTGGATGGAATCACCAGGCGCAGGGATCCTCGGGCTTTGAAGGAATGCAATGATGATTAATTGACCGGGTCGGAATCAAGAATATATTTATTCTGTAGTTCAATCTAAATAGAAGCAATAATCTGAAGAACATCTGGTAGAAAGCTTTTGAAGGGTGTTTGAGGCGAGGATTGGGCTTTGGACCAGAACAACATATACTTATTCATATGCTGGGATCCCCACTATACTAGAACTTTTATTTCCTACTCCCAGTGATTGGAAGGAGGTGAAAACAAGTGACTAAAAGAAGCTCAGCACTGTTCTCCTGTAAATGTCTCCCGCCACTCAGGAGGATTATAGATCTCAGAAACGCGCTAGATTGCTTCGGTCAGATCAGGAGTAGTTGAAGTCTTTTACCTTATTCTCCACAGCTGCTTCTACAGATTCGCTATTGTCAGTGACCTTGAATATGATCCATCCATTAAGAATGAGTGCCTGGAGCACTGCACTGGAAGTTTCTAGAGGTCTAGAAAATCATCTGAATCAATCTTAACGTTGATGTTAATGTTGGTTTGAGGGAGGATTTGAAGACGTCGCGGGTCTTCATTGAGGAGCTATGAGTATCTGATGTCACAGAAGAGCATGTAAATTCTCTACCTCTTGGTATCAAAGTGTATCCTAAAATACCACAGCATGAAGATTTAATAGGATATTATTGATACTTCTCCTCGTCAATAAATCGCAAGACTTTCATAATACCCTAAGCAATAGAAGTAGGAGTACCAGAGCTGACAGGTGTCCCTAGCGGGACATCAAATTCTATTTCAAGATGTACAGAGAACCTGCTCAAGAAAAAAGTGCAACAGGTGTAAAAGGCCTAATCGAACTAGCTGTCAACTGCCATAGGGTCGTCCAACGTGGCTTTTGGTCCTTTGTACCATTTTCTCGCCGAGACGAAGTAATAGGTAAGCGAGGATCCCCACAGGGCGACATTGATCACAACTGTATAATTCATATCCGTAGCTGCATGTATCAAATTAGCCGTGGATTTCTAGAGAGAAAAGATCCCAATATCCTGCAGTGACTTACCTGAAGGGTTTGGCCCAAGAGTAGGGAACATGGAGAGGGTGATCGAGAAAGAAAGATACACCAACGCAGTGATGGCAATCGCCTTGCTAAAGCGTCCGGTATAAAATGCTCCGGGTCTGAATTTATCCTGACCCCAGAAGATTCTGCAAAAAATGGGAATAGCCCATGCCAGGTCATTACCAGCGACGCACAGCGAGAACAACGCGTTGGCGGCGGCAGGGTTAATCAAGCACAACAGCCCAATGATGATCGAGCCCCCGACACAACCCCAAACTGCGCGTATAGGCTGGTACCTGATTCGCTTGCTCACAACTCTCCAGAAACTGGAAAATGGCAGGGCTCCGTCTCGAGAAAAGGCCCAGCTTTGTCGAGATGCCGAAATAAGCTAGATGAAGTCAGCGAAGCGCCAATGTAATAGGACAGGCAAGTTCACTGCTTGAACATACAATACTCAGACCCATAAAGAATTGCACCACGGTTACCACAGTCATAAATCCCAATGCCCCGTTTTTGCCCAAGGCATCATAATAAACCTGAAAACATAGCTGTTAGTTCTAATGAGACTCAGTCAGAAGATGCATGTTACAACAAACCTGGGTCATTGGTTGGCCGAATGGGGAATTCAAAATAGATGCAAGGTCTTTATTCATGCAAGCAGCGATGATACACAGGGACAGGAAGCCAAGAGACCAGCAAGCACCAATAGAGCCGAGAATTCCATAAGGCACTGCCTTGGCAGCATTGGTCGCTTCTTCGCTCATATGCACGCATGAATCAAACGCTCCGATTGTCCAGATGGGGGAAAGCCAAGCGAGCATGAATGCCCAACCCGTTGGCCATGTGGTAAGATTTTCCACGTGTGTAAAAACATAAGCTCCAGAGTTAATACCTTCGGCCGTCCTTGACTTCCCAATGGGCAACGCGATCGCGGTGGCCAATACTAATCCGACATTGGCCATGATGCACACGGACTGAATTCGATGCATAATCCCAGCCGCAAAGGTGGCAAAGATACCGTGGACGATTGCAGTTGCAACGAACGTGCCATATACTGCATAGGTTGATGGAGTCCAAGTGCCATCACCTCCAAGCGAAACAAGTGACAAGAGCATCCGTGCAAATCCATCTAAATTCATCTCAGTCAGTGGCTAGGGGCTGTCTTGCGGTAGGTTGGCATACAGTTAATCGAGCAGATTCCTCCAATAAGGCCAATAGTGTTGCTATAGCCAACTAGGAAGCTAAGCGGATTTTTCCACTTGTCAGCTGCAAAATAGTGTGTCCACCAATAAAGGCCCCCTGACGTAGGCAGAGCCGACCCAAGATCAGCCTATAAATATAAGTCAGGATAAGTACATTATCGGTTCAATTCTCACTCACCATAGCAAGGCCGACAATGAAGATGAACCCGCTCGCCATAAACCAGCCCTGCACTCGGTTAGCATGCCGCATGCGTCAGACTCTCATGCTCTTTGTATTGATAGGGGCGGGGGAAGTCTCTTTTCTTACCCAAACCATAGCGGCCGGTCCCCCTGGAACCGAAAATGATAACGTTGATGCAATTGAAGGAAGCAGGCCCATGATGCTAAACGCAATCGCAAAGACCTGAATTGTCGAGTAACGTCGTCGGAGTTCCTCCTTGTATCCCATAGCAGCTTCAGAAGAGGTTAGCGCCAGCAATCGGTGCATTGTACACACCGCTTACCCAGAACATCCGCATCCACAACGTCCTCCTTTTCCATGATTTGAGCTACAGGCTCGGAGGCCAAACCGGCCTTAATCTCTTGATCTGTTGGCATTGTTGAAAACTGTTTTCGGGGTTCAAAGCCAGGAATCGCAGAATAGCTGGCAACAAGGAGAGTAGAAGGACCTTGCCATTTTCAGGGCGGACGGAGGCTTTTTGAGGAGGAAGGATATGCGGGGACAGCGCAGATAGCTTTTCTAGGTGACCCAGAAGCATGGTCGACATAATTGGTGAAAGTTAACCATAGTGTAGAGGACGTGGTCCGCATATCATAGATAGGGACAGTCTGAAGTTTAAAAGCAGGCAGGTACTCCATCGATGATCCACCTGAATTTGTTTGGCTTGAGATGCACTGCTCGACCAATTGAATTAGGTCAGATATGAGGAAGCGGAAAAGTTGTGTTGACAAAGCCTTCACAACAGAATTCCACTTAAGAGGGGTGATCAACAGCTGAAAACATTGCACCGCATTTTACCAAGGAGGTAAGTCCGCTGTATCAGATCCGATGTCTGTCTGACGTTCAGGAAAACCTGCTAGGGAATGATGTTTGGAAGAGGAGCGTAGGCTACCCTGTGCTTGCTTCTCCCTAGGTGGAGATTGACCCGCTAACTCGTATCGCTCTTCGTCTTGATAAGAGCCCGATGTTCCACGTTGGCAGAAATAGCATCTCGGCGAGATAAGTTAGCTGGTAGAATCAGGATGTGATAGGAGAACCCTAACATAAGCTGGGCAGACGAGTCAAGGCCGGCACGTCTCCCCGCATTTTGCACCCCACAACCCCGGTTTCTAAGGTTTTGCGGAGAGGGATATGGTGCTCCGCAAAATTTCCGTCAGAGGGCCATGGACCTCGCCCACATTGCCTAGCCCCGGACAGATGGATGGGAGGTCTGTTTGTCCCGAGGTGTGTCCTAGCGGGGACGGACATCGGCAGCTAGTTAGTCCGGGCGATCGCCGTCGAGCTCAAAGTTCTGTGGCGTACGGTGTAGGGAAGAGCCACGCGAACATTGCACATAAACTCACGGCAGAGGCTCCAGTGGTTCACGAAGGTTTCCGCCGAAGAACTCTGCGAAGCGCATTTCTTTTCCTGCCCGCGTTAACAATGGCTTAGCTGGCATCTCAGACACCCTCGGTTTTGCTTTCTTATGCAAACTCCCGCCCGCCCGAACGGATTTCCCCTACAGAGCACTCTATGCCACGAGACTTCTCAATATACTCCTTACACCACCCAGGACGTCGATGCTCCCGGCCTCGTCTCCCTTCGTGAACAGAGAAGCAGCTTCGAGAACCCTTGACCGCGGTATGAGGTATTCGTCCCAGGGTGGACCGACGAAGAATGAGATGGCTGCCTGTAAAGGGCTGGTTGCCACGAGGATTTGGGGTGGAGAGAGTTGATCGCGATCTTCTCGCATCGGAGAGGAGCAAGCGCGCGGACAAGGTCGGAACGAAGTCCAGATATGCTAATGTATACCGGGGTTTAGGGAAAGCCAAGTTGTATACGGAGTACAGAGTAAAACTGGGAGGTGTGGAAACCGATATCGGGCCCTGAAGCCCGAAATGATTACGATTTTCCTCCTCGATGCACATCAACTATGTACCTCGTTCTTGATAGTACTCCGCATTGACTTCGCACTCTGATAGCTGATTCCTCGCGCTGTTTCCTGCTGCATGTAGCATGTGTGGCAACCCGAAGGGCATCGGCTATCCACCAATTGCTGCTATCGCCAACCCGTTGGGCGTGCCCCTTGTACTAGGAATGCATGAAGGCATTTACCAAAGTCAATCATGTACGGGTTCTTCGGCGTAGCCGGTGCATCGTAAATGATTCGGCGAAGATAACTGAATAAAGTCAACCGCATTTACGAGAACAAGGATCACGTTTCTCGCGCAGCCGGCCAGCAGAGATTGTGGGATCTTCGCGCATCAGACCAGAATTTCGCTACGGCCTTTATCTCGGATATGTCTATCCGCTGCGTAATGACTTCACTCGGTCATTGGGAACTATAAAGGAGAACGCTTTCCCGCACCTGCGGCTTAGGCCTGATTCTTGTTTGACTTTCTCCCGCAAGGGTAATGCAATATTTAAAGCGCAGATTCGTTAGCGATATAGTTATGTGGTAACTGGCTTTTGTGTACTCCGTAGAGAGTCTCTGTACTATAAGGCGGATTGTTGGCTCGGGAGGCTACAGGATTCCTGTCTGGGTTTGCCTTTCCAATATCCTCCGACTCAAGCCTAGAGGCGCGCTATGTTTGTTGTGCAGCGGAAGGCGATAGAACGGAATATCTAGCCCGATCTTTGCTTCCCACCCCCCTTTCCGCAATCCCCCAATATGTGAAAGTGTGGGGGATAGCCAATACCCCTTTGCTGGGACACAAACCCCGCAGGGCTTTGGGGGACGCAATCTTGGGTCGAATTTTTTGCGGCCTCTTCTCACCCGATGTCAACGGGATGCGAACTGCTTCGTTGAAGCGAAGGAAGGGGCTTGGAGCCGAATCCTGCACCTGCGGTTGCTGAAGGTCATCGCAAGGTGAAGAAAAATCGGCTTGTCTTTGACGAACTTCACCCCCGTTGCGCTAAATTCGGATGGCACTCATCATCTCGAATCGCGTTTTCGAAAGCGCTGCATATCATGTATATTGTCAGCAGGTGAAGAAAGGGTGCTGCTAATCTGATAGCTACCTTATATCCAGTTCATTCGATTCATTTTTTGCCGGCGTCCATTCACTTTTCTACGGCCTCCCTGTCTCTAACCGGCGGATATTCTCTTTCCCTCCCCAGTCAGCGGCTAGCGACCATGTCGGGAATTGGTATGAGGACCTTTTGGACCACCCAGAATGCCGGGGTAATCCTGTAAGCGATTCATTTGCTGAGATACCAGCTCCTTTACTAGTACTACCTAGTAACTCTCATCTCCAGGTGAAAGTCCAGGCAGCATACGATTCCTACAGGCAGACGGGCCTCTCAAGGACCATCGCTTCGATGACGTGTCGGGATGTCCATCCCACAAAGGAGAGGATAGCGCCTAGCCCAGCCCTTGTACAATACTTATCGCATCTCGAAGAGAGCACCGCGAGGCCGGAAACTTTGGAGGCCCCGTATGAAAATGAGCCAATAAACTGCATGGTGCTCCGGGCCGCGTCCAACCATGAAGATCGTAGAGCTCTTGCGCGGCTTGCAGGATCGGCTGAGGGTTGTCGTGGGGGCTGGTAAGTGCTGTGATGCACTCCGTCTACGTCGCGACTCCAGCAGTATGAATGAGTGCCGACAAGACCATTTATTCCTCGTTGGTCGGTCAATTAAGCGCTGAGATGTGCAGATATGTGGTTCCCTGAGTCCTCCCGACTACATCTATCCGTGTTGGAGATTTCACACCGCCATCCAATGACCCACCTTAAGGCCATCTACAGTCAAATGGGGACTGATCTCCTCCGGGAAATGTTGAACTATCCCGCGGTCTTTGCTACAGGGAGTGGCCAAAAGAGGGCTCGCCTTGGCAAGCCAATGCTTGTTTTTGACAAGGTTGGAGTGGCCATTGGTTTTGTTCCCACTGGAGAAGACCAATATACTTATCATCACTTGCGGACGGATCTTTATGGAATGGCACTACGCAGCGGTGTTAAGATGGACACGTGCTACACTGCCTGCACAGCCCATATGACCCTGGGTCGTTTTGTGTCAACCACTACATTCGACTCGGACAGCGATGAAGGTACGCAAAAACATATCCAAAACTAGATCAGAACCATCCAATGCATTAATCAGGAGCCGAAGGACCGGTGTTGGACAGATGAATGGTATTGGGTGGTGGGCGAGGAGAGAGGATTGGAGATACAGATGGGTATGCTTAAATTTGGACGCGGTACAAATGCAGCAGCAGCAGTGGGACAAAGCCTTGGTTAACTACTGTATGAATATCAGGCTAACTACGGAGTACAGAGTATATATTTAAATTACCATGGTAACACCAATGACGAAATGTTGCTTAAGGCAATGTCTTGTCCCATGTCTTGCTCAACGACCACACCACCAGCATACCCTTCAGCATGCCACTTGTAGATGGAGGGTGGATTAACGACGCACACATATTGCCAAGGCATGTTTGTCATTAATGAGTTGTTTTGCCAGAGAGAACCCTTGCATTCGTACTCACATAAAGCCGTGAAATGTCTGGGCAGGGACCGGAGTTAGGAGATAACACTCTCTCACTTTGCCAGTTGTTTTGCAGGATACAGGGGTTGATTGGGTTGTAGTCGGCCATAGCAGAAATGGGGAGGATTTGTAAACCATAGATCCACTAGTCCCGATATGTTTATGTTGGAATATATGTTTATCCAAATCCACAGTTGTTTGGAAGTTTAAAAATATATACATTCTGAATTTGGAAATGTAGCTTCCAATCCTCAATGTAGAAATTGGGAAATGTTCAAACCCCTGATCAATGAATATATCTAGGAACATTTGGGATACCTTTTCAGGTTTATAAATGTTTATAGTATAGAAACCATTATAGTATAGAAACCATTATAGTATAGAAACCATTATAGTATAGTTACTCCAGCAGACACTGGAGAGATTTCAACTAATATGCAATACTATATACATCAAACTGCCTGATCCACCTATAAAAAGAAAATGCTTCAAGTGCAGTTGAGAAAGATAGTTGGCAGAGCAGAATTCAGTTTGAGTCTTTTGAAATCTTTGCTGACAGATATTATGTAAAGACTTGGTTTGCAGATTGCAGGTAGGCCAATTATATGAATCTCATCCTGATTCACCTGCAAAATCAGCAAATTCAGTACCCTCTCATACTGAATTTCATGAGCAGAGAACATGGCAAAAAAAACCCTTCAGCAGCTGTTCTGGTTGTAGGTGAATATGCATCTTATTTGTCTGATCTTGATGTCCAACACATGAGTATACTTAACCAGATTATCAAGTTTCAATGTAGTATGATATGCATCTTTATTGAATGTAAAGGTCAGCTTTTGAAACAATCAGACTGGAGTTGAATCTCTGTCAAGCATATGTTAATATGCTCAATCACTGCTGTATGAAAGTCAGAGCTTTTGCAAAAAGAAATGCATAATTAATAGTTCAGAAAGCTACACACTTTGTAAATCAAGCAATTCTATAACTTTGTGGCTAGCTGATAGTCAGCAGTAGACATTAATTAAGATATGGAAGGGGGTGATAGCATATGAATTATTAGCTTCATCAGCATTCTCATCATCATCTTGTTGCTCATTGTGTTCCAATCATACAAGATCTTGCATGAGAATCAGACATTTGTGATGAAGTTGCTTCATCTGGCTGCTGATATAGAGTTCTGATTCCATAAGAGCTCCATCAAGAATCAAGAATATAGTGTGTTTGAAGCTCTCATAAATCAGTAAAATCTTTTTAATATCATGCTTGTTGATTTACTGCACAAATACTTTATATTTATAGTGTTTATCCTCTCTAATCAGTACATTACAGTTATTTGGCACAGCATACTTCTTTGCCTGGTCAGCATAGTACATCTCAATATGCATGTTTGATTAGTGTTTTAAAGCATGTAACATCTTATCTGCTTTTAGAGCAATACTAACAGTATTGATTAAAATATTCTCTGTTGGGAGTATCATAATTCAATTGAATACTGATGAATTCTGCTGTAATCTTAGCATTCATACTGTTCAGCTAGCCAACTATAGTGTCTTGACAGTCATGACAGTAGCATCTATCACTTTCTGAAGTATAGTTCAGGCATTGGCAACCACACTTTTAAGTTCATTGTACTCAACAGATATCTGAGAAGTTAATAGTGAATTACTTCTTGCAATAGCATTAAAGATTTTAGCAAGCAACAAATACAGAATGTCAGAATCAATTAACTATTCATTAAAGAAGTTATAGAGAGCCTGCTGAACAACAGTCTGAATCCAGTCAGGCTTTAGAGCAAAGTAGAGTATAATTGAAATCATAATTGAAGCTCAGACATGTTTCTGAATTTGATAGAACTCCAGATGAGTAATTGGAGACTGCAGTCAGATCCAGCATCTTCAAAATGAAAATCTCTGTAGAGTTTGATAGTATTTCTTCTGCCCCTCAGATGTTAATATATGTGATATCAATAATGTATGTATAATTTTGGACAGGCCCAAAAATTCACTATAACAGAGATCAGAGAGGAAAAATATCACCAGATTCAGTACTGGACAGATCTTCAAAACTGAAGAACTTTTCTTGATCAATTTATAGATCTTCTACAGTGCTTCTCACTTGCAAACAGTTCACTTCATCTTAATTTCAGCCTGCAAATTGAGTAGCTGGTAATAGTATCAGTTATGTTTCATCAAGTTGAAATTTATATTGAATCTCTCCATATCAGAGACAGTACAGCTCTGACAGAAGACTGTTGCAGTAGAGTATTTAATTTCAGTATTGTTATTTTACTGTAGTATGTCATCAAGATAAGCAATACAAGAAGCAATAACTCTGACAGTTTCTTCACCAGTTATCATAATATCAAATTCTCTTTCAACTGCTTGTAAACCAGAAGCCAATGTCTCCACAACATCAGAAAAATTTGTAGCATGAGGTCTAAGAGCAATTATATATATATTGTTTTATTATCTTCTTTCAGAATCATTAAGTCCTGCAGAGATCATATAAAAGCCAGTTATATTTCAGTACATGTTTCAATATAGATCAAATTCATTAATGAACAGCAGAAAGAGAATGAATATAGTTCTCTTGATAAAGTTGCCTGGGCAGAGCATCTTGATCAGTATATCTCTTTCATATGCTGTGATTTCCAGTTCACTTCAGAGTGGAGTGCTAAGTCAGAGCTCTTGTACAGATGATGTGTGGCAAATTATATTCATCACTCACCATATAAAGAATCTATTTATTTCTGAGAATTTATAGCTACTTAATCCATCAAAGATGTAGTCAAGATGGACATTCAGTTAAGCTAGAATGTTGTCTTCATGTATAATATAAGTTTTCTGGTCTTTCAGTAAGAGCAGCTTGTTTGGGCAAAGTGAAGATCTCAGTAAATGGATTCTTTTATTAAAGCTGCTGGCAGTAATAGTGTACTGGACAATAAGAACAATTTCACCAGATTTTATACAGGCCAGTCTCTGGTCCTGACCCATAAATTGAATTCTTCTAATATGAATTTCTTGTTCATTTCAAGTGCACTTATATGCAGCATTATTGCATCTGAAACAAACAAAATCAGAAGAAAAGACTGATGTTCTGTCAGAATATTATGTAAAGTCACCCAACAAACATCTAATGAAGCTTCTCCAGCTCTATAATTGCCATAATTCAGTCAGATTGTTAACTAGGTCAGTCATATCAATATGTATCTTCTTGTGAAATACAGAAGATCTTGCCAGTAATAACAAAAGAGCCACAGGATCCTGAAAGAATAAATTAGATGTAAGAGATATCTGTATTAGTCACTTCTCAGCAGGTGAAAAAGTTGGCATTTTTAATGGAACAGCTAGTATAGATGCCTGTCAGATGAAAAGTATAGAAAATTGAGCTCTGCATTTCTTCTTCAACATGCTCAGCTCTAATGGTAGAGATCTCAGTGTACTGATGTTTTTGGGAATCTGTAAGACTTTCTACAGTGTCTTGTAGTGTCAGCAAGATATTTCTGATTTTTCACACCATAATTCTAAAGCAAGTGTGAAGTGGTCCAGCATTTCATCAGACTCCACATGTGCATGGACTAGAACCTTCAACAGATCATTCATTGTAGTTGGGATGTAGATCTCAGCTGACTGGTCACCCAATGAATTCTCTAGTTATGAATGAAAATCAGAATCTTCATTATCAACTGGATGCACTGAATGTAATATAGTCTGTAACCAGAATTCAGATTCAGGCTTTTCATACTGTTGTAATTTATTGTTATTAACTGATTCCATGAGTAGAGCTGCTACTGCTTCTTGTATAATCTCCTGCACTCTGATATCTTCTGGTTCAGAATGAGTATCAGATAGAGCATCAGACAGAGCATCAGAGACATCTGAAAGACTTGCTGCATTCTGTACACAGTAATTAGAATGATGCAGACTGACAGAGAATTCAAGATCTTACACTTAATTCTGACTTCTCAGTTTAATTGTTTAGCTGAATGTTGAGTTTCACTGAAGATAAAACATAATTACAATCTTGTGATTTCTGTAACAAATGGGCAGGCTGTCTGCACCTTCAAAACTGCAAGACTAGAAATAGCAAATAAAGTTGTCTTCTTTAAAACATATAGTTCTCTATGTGCCTCAAGTACCTCAGATCTCATATGTTTGCTTGAGGTTTATACACCAGTTTCTACAGTAGTTAAGTTTCAAGTTGCAGAAACAGTGAGAGTTGCTGCAGAATTGCTTTGAAATAAAGTATATAGAAATTAGAAAGAAAATTACTGTTCAATTGGGGAATCAGATATATTATAGCAAAGTTGAATGTTAGAGCAGTCACAAAATATGCCAACTGTGCTACAGATCAACTGTAATATCTCAATCATCTAGATCTGTAATTAGCTCTAAGAGATACAAGATCAGTAATGATCAGCATTCTTCTGAATGATCAGCCTATTTTAAAGAAATCAATTACTTAGCAGCATTGAATTTTAGAATGTAGGGGAATATGGATATAGATCTGAATAGCAACTTGAGCAGTTAAATGCACTTCAAGTCAACTATATAATAAATAGCAAACCCCTTCAAAATTCAAGCATT